GTCTGACTGCTGGGGCTCCTCTCCTTCCCCCGCACAAATCTGTAATGAACTCCAGCTGTGTTCCCCCCACCTTCCCTGGGACTCAGCCCCAAAAAGAAGCAAGTTGGGTGAGCCCACCAAGGCCGGCCGGAGCCTCCCGTGACTCACTCTCTCAGCTTCTTCCTGTCATCTGTCAGCTTCTCTGCACCAAACGTTAAGCAGTATGTTCGCCACACGTACTTCCTGCAAGGGGAGGTTTGCTTATTTATAAAAATACTTCCTATGCCGCTTTCTCATAGTAATACAGCACAGTGGCTCACAGCAATATAAAACCACGCAGTAAAATTGTTAGGGAAAAATCTAGGTGTGAGGCTGCTCAGTCCCCCAGCTGGTCGGGCAGAGCCTGCGGAATAAAGGAAGGAGTCCAGCCACCAACCGGAGCCAATAGCTGTAGACCAAAGTTTATTGCGCAACAGGTTCAAAGAGGAATTTTGAACCCCGAGGATGGGGTGACAAGGACTTTTAAAACTTTCCCACCATATCCCAGAATACAGTGCATACAGCATCATTGCTACATCAGAAAAGGGGAGGGTCATACATGATGAACATAGGAGGAATGTGTTGGGGCAACAGGCGGATACAGGATATGTATTGGGAAGTACATTCTAAGCACCTACTACAAAGGGACAATAGAACTTGGGTTTGCATAGTCTGCCACCTGGGCAAGTCCGGAGGAGAGCTTTTGCCCAGCGATTGACAGCTATGAGTACAGCTATGAGTACGTCCATAGCAGGGACCAAGTGGCTTCCAAGTCCTTGGCCAATGAAGCAAATTGGCGGTGGAATGAAGGAAACTGGCAAAGGAGTTGATTTTATATGATTTTTAAAGCTAGGCAACTTCCCTGAGCCGTCAATTCGAAAGGATACCTTTATGCATACTATTTGTAACATTTAACAACTTTAAAGATGTGCCCCCCCCCCGTAATTTCCGTAACAGAAATCATTTAACTTTTAAATGATTTTACTGTATGGTTTTATATTGCTGCACACTGTGGTGATTTACTTTTGTGATCCGGCAGTATATAAATATATTTAACAAGCAAGTTAAAAGGAAAAGAATTAAAAACAGGCGCCAGCAGACCATTGTGGTGGGATGTACTTGTAGCCGCCTGCAGAGGCCTGGCGGAACAAAGCTTTTCGGCAGTCGTTTAAAAGTTGGCACAGAAGGTGCCTGTTAGCAATGTGAGGGCGGAGGGCCAGCAGGTGGGAGCAGCCGATCCGAGGAGACTAAAGGCTAGCCCACCCACCTGGGAGGGTCACACAGGAGGACCCCCCACCCGTCCTGGGCAGGGGGAAGGGCTCAACTCACCAGCTGATGTGCTGGATGCCCCCTGCCCGCTCCTGCTTCAGCTGCACAAACCGCTGGATGGCTTTCTTCAGGTCCAGGACGCTGGCATTCTGCACCACCACCACGGCTGCGGAGAAGAAAGCGTCGTCATCACCCCCAGACTGCATCTTGCGCATCCCGCCAGGACCCAGGAGGTGCTCAGGACACTCTCTCTTCTAATCCCCCCCCACTGGGAATACCTTCAGCATAAGCCGAGGGAGGGGCTTTGCAGGGCAAGAAAAGAGGCCTTGGGCAGCGAAGGGGGGGGTGTCTCTCTGTGGGCTCTGTGCGGGGAAAAGGGCTGGAAGGGCAACCAGGGCCTTGCTTGCTTGCATTATTGTATTTTAATATTTTGCTGGAAGCCTCCCAGAGTGGCTGGGGAAACCCAGCCAGATGGGTGGGGTGGTAATAAAAATAATAATATAATATATTATTATTATTATTATTATTATTATTATTATTATTATTATTATTATTATTTATACCCCGCCCATCTGACTGGGTCTCCCCAGACACTCTGGGCGGCTTCCAACCAAATATCAAAAACAATACAGCGCCAGACATTGAAAACTTCCCTAAACAGGGCCCTAAACAGGTATAAATATATAAATAACAAATAACAAATTTATAAATAAATAATAATAATAATAATAATAATAATAATAATAATAATAATTGCTCCCTGCACCTCCAGCGCATAAAGCCACGGAGGGAGGAGGCTGGGGGGCGTTTGCTCCTTCTGCTCAGTTTAGAGTCGGAAGGGCCCTCGGGGGTCATCCAGCCCACCCCCCCGCGAGGCAGGAATGTGGGGCGGGGCCAGGTCCGAGGGGGCGGGGCGACGCCGACTCACGCATGGGGGCCTCGGGGGCGTCGGCTCTGCGCACGCGCACCGTCATGGCCTGGCCGTACTCGAGCGCCACCTGCGAGCCGATCTCCTCGGGGGTCACCTGACAAGGGAGAGGAGGGCGGAGTCAGCGCCGGGGATCGACAGGCGAGGCCGGCCCCGCCCCCTCCGGTCGGCCTACCTGCGCGGGGAGGTCGCAGAGCAGCGGGTCCCTCACGAGGCGCGCCAGGCCGGCCTGCCACAGCTGCAGCACCTCGGCGTGGGCCGCGTCCACGGCGCCCTCCTCGCCCGCCTCCTCCTCCTTCGCCGCCTCAGGCGCCGCCATCTTGGGGAGGGGCGTGGCCTCCGGGGGGGCCGACCGGAAGCGGAAGTGCCTGGGCGTGGCTTCTCGGCGAGGGAGGCGCGGGCGCCATGCTGCTCTTCTGCCCGGCCTGCGGGAACGTCCTGGTGGCCGAGGAGGGCGCGCGCTGCCACCGCTTCGCCTGCACCACGTGCCCCTACGTGCGCAACGTCACGCGCAAGGTAGGGAGGGGGAGGGGAGGCGAGGGGGTTCCCCCGAGGGAGGGAGGTTCTCCCCGCTCACGACCCCCCCTTCCTCTCTTTTGTTAACGGAGAAATCTGAGGGCTCCCTTGGACAAAAAACAAGGACGCCAGCCAGGAATAGTAGAGCAAAACAGCAGCCAGTAGGCTTGGTTGAATACTGTCGCGACAGGACTCCCACCTGCCACCAGGTGGAACGAGATGGAAGCCCCGAACAAAAGGGAACCCAAAGTTTTATTAGCTGCTAATCCCCATGTTACACCCCCCCAAACTACATCACTAATACATCATGGTTACATCATGAAAGGGGATGTCTGGTGGCAGGAATCTGAGCATCCTGGACCCTGCCCCATGGTTCCCCTTGCCCTCCACCAAACACCATCAAGTGTCACAAAAGAGATATTTACACTGCCCTGTTTCCCAGCCAAGTTCATCACACCCTTTTGTCTTCATCTGGGTTTGTTATTTCCGGAATGGCTACCTGTCTGGCACTCAGGTATCAGGATGCCAGGGATTATCACTCAGGCAGAGGGGCTGCTGAGTAGCTGAGCTCACAGGTCTAGATGAATTTCCGAAGTTTTCCCAGTGAGCCAGTACCTAGATACATTGATCAGTGAATTGTTACGTTTGGTATTCTGCAGCAGAGGCCCCCTGAATAGATAGGAAGAAACTGTGATGAAGTGTTTTGCGGGGACAAATCACAAAAGTGATTGTGCTGATTTTGGTAGTGGGCTGCATGTGCATGATACCTGCTGGAGGGGCAAACCCCCAACCTATACATAAATTCCTGCAACACTTTCAGGTGACGAGCCGGCGCTACCCGAAGCTCAAGGAGGTGGACGACGTGCTCGCGGGGCCGCAGCCTGGGAGAACGTGGACTCCACTGCAGGTGTGTGGGAAAGGGGGCCAGGGTCTCCAGGAGGGGAGTCGGGAGGGAACCCCAGGGGTCATCCAGGCCAACCCCTCGCAGGCAGCGCAGGGATCGAGCTCTCCTCCCGGGTTTGACCCACTCTCCCCCCGCCCTACCTGGAGATGCTGCCAGCGGGATGGAACCTGGGAGCCCCCTTTGGAAGGCGAAACCCATAGTAATAATAATTATTATTTTTTTATACCCCACCCATCTGGCTGGGTTTTCCCAGCCACTCTGGGCAGCTCCCAAAAGAATATTAAAAACATGATAAAACATCAAACATTGAAAACCTCCCTGTACAGGGCTGCCTTCAGATGTTTTCTAAAAGTCAGAGAGTTGTTTATTTCCTTGACATCTGGTGGGAGGGCGTTCCACAGGGTGGGTGCCACCACCGAGAAGGCCCTCTGCCTGGTTCCCTGTAGCTTTGCTTCTCGCGCTGAGAAGGTTCTGACCCCCGTGACTCTGATTTAAGAGGGAGCTCAGGAAGCTTCCTTCCGCAGAGTCAGACCCACCTGGCTCAGCGTGGTCAGCACTGGCTGGCAGCCACAGATCCGCAGGGTTCCAGGCAGGGGATCTTTCTCCCAGGCCCTCGGGGAGATGCAAAACAAGCGCCCCACTTGTCAGGTTGAGGGTCCTCATCATCTCCGGCCTTGGCCAGCCGGGGGCTTGAGGCTGCAGGAGCCGCCCTCTGGCCCGGAGGGGGAGATACTCCACCACCCACCAGGTCCTGACACCCTCCTCTTTGTCTTTCCACCCCCCCCCCCAGAGCCGTGCCCCAAGTGTGAGCACCCACGGGCCTACTTCATGCAGCTGCAGACGCGCTCGGCCGACGAGCCCATGACCACCTTCTACAAGTGCTGCAGCGTCCCAGTGCGGACACCGCTGGAGGGACTGAGGCCACAGTGGAGCTGACTGGGCAACTGGGGTGCGGGCGTCTGCTACTTTGTACATAATAAACAGTATATATGAGAAAGAGCTGCAAACATGTTCTCTCATTCTCTATGCACAAGGAGGGCAGTGAGGGTTGCATCCTACACATTTTGGAGCCAAAATGGACACCTGCTCAAAGGGACAAGAGGAATGGTTGGAGAGCTTGGAGCATCCTAATTTTTTGCAGTCATTTCTGCTACGTTTTAAAAAGCTGGCTTGACCTGAGGTTCCACAGATGAAAGTAGCTTCTCCCACCCCCACCTGAGAGGAGCCACTGCCTTGCCCACAGTGGCAGCCATTCAGGTGTTTCACCTGCTTACCCTGTGCTGCCACAGCGCCAGTCTCTGCCACCGTCATCAGTATCCTCCCAGTTTTGTGTTACAGGGTCAAGCAAGAAGCTGAGAGTCAGGAGGAGGTACAGAAACAATCTCTTTATTAACAAAAACACACAACGACATTCACTGTCCTACTGTACAAAAGAGGCCTCATCACAAGGGAGCCATCTGCACCCACTTGTTCCAGTTCAGTTCATAGGGAAAGACCCTGCCCATTTTCAGGGTGCAGTCAACAGTGGGCTCATAGAAGACGGCTGGCGTGCTGCTCAGTTTGGGGCTGCCAACCACCTCCTCAAGGGTCGGCTTCGAGAAGAGCGAGGCTGGTCTCTGCTGCTTCAAGTGGAATTTCCTGATGCAGCCAAGAGATTCAAGGCCCTGTAAAGCGAAGGGGGAAATTTAACACACACACACACACACACACACAGTTACTGAACGCTAACCTTTTTTAAAGTGTTGGGCGTAGGCTGTATTGAAAGCAGTGGTTTCATTGCAGGGGGCAAGTTGGACCCTCCACATGTTGCTGGAATCCCAATTGGCCATGCTGGCTGAAGCTATTGAGAGATGTACAACAGCATCTGGGGAACCGCCGTTCCCTCCACCACTGGCCATTTAGCATTTTCAACATGTAAGAAAATAGCAGCTGCTGATGGGCACATGTTAAGGTGGAGTGTGCCTCCTAAATGCCGTCCCTATGCAGAAAGAGAACCGTGGGCCTTTCCTAAGGTGGCTCTTTCCTTGCCCTGTGCCACCACAGCCAGGCTCTGCTCCCTAACAATGGTAGGAGTTTGGGTGGGTAGGTCCTGCTCTGCATCCAATCAAGGGTGCAGAAAACCAAAGCTATTGTGCAGCTCCATCTCCAGATCTCCTGAATAGGAGTTGCCATAAATGCCTAAGTGCTTTACTCTGGTCTTGTAAGTAGGGTGGGAAACAAATGTGGCTAAATATATAAACTTCTATTTTAAGACAGAGGCTGGGACTAGCTGACCTCCTGCCTCTGCCCTGGGCCTGCGCAGATATGGCCATTCCCTTCTTCGCCACCAAGTCACTGTTCTTGCATGCTGAGCCCTGGGAAGGGACACAGGCAGCAACATGCAGGTAAGCTGGAAACACCTGGGCAGACTGGATCCACCTTGACCCCAGGAGACCAAACATACCTGCAGAATCTCCAGAAGAGCCACCGGCTGCAGGACGCCCAAATAGTGGTGGCACAGAGCTGCTTCCGTTATGCCAGGCTTGGTCATGATGTGGCAGAGAACCCCCTCCATGATGCCCTTGCAGACTGGCTTGTTCAGGCTGCCGTCCACGATGCGCCACGGACGGCCGACAAAGCTGATGCTCCCACCAGCGCTGTTTTGAGAGCAGAGGTGCAAGGAGAGAGAGTGAGAGGAGCGGAACCACTGCTGGCATTGGCAAAGGGGACAGCCTTTCCCCCCATGAAGCAACCTGGCTCCTGCAACCATCATCTTATTTGTGTGCCTCTTGTGTGGGAAATTCGAAAGGCAGTAACATGAGAATGGGCCTTCTTTGGGGTGTCTTCCTACTTGACTGGCACATTCCTGATCTTTAGGCACCAGTCCAAAAACTTCCCTCTATAATCAGGCCTTTGATTATCTTTGGCCTTTTAGAAGTGGGTGGGATGGTTCTAATTTATTTCTCTTCTTGGTTCTAATTATATGGGCTTTTGTTTTGTTATTTGGCTGGCTGGTTGTAAGTTGCTTTGGGCAAGGTAAAACGACTAACAAATTTAACAAATAATAATGCACTTGTATGCACAGGCAAAGGCCAGGCCCCCGCTTTAGGCTGCAGCACAGTGAGCAAGCAGATCCCAGCAGCTTTTGGTGGTCTGTCCCAGCCAGGCCTACTCATGTCTCAACTTAAGAGCCAGAGGCATTTTTAAGACTGGTGCCAACCTCCTGGAGAACAACCCCCAGGGGGCAGGTTGGGTCTCCAAAGCACAATACAGCTGACTAGAGGTCCCAGAAGTACTGGAATCAGCAGGAAGTCCCTCTCTGAAAACCCCTCAAATCCACCGGCACAAGTGCTGCACTGGCCACAAACGTAGCCTCGTTCCCTTTTGAGATCCTGCCACAACAGTAGGAACATCTCAAGGGGTTTGGTGGGGAAAACCTCTGAATACCTGTTGTTTGCTTCTGAATACCAGTTTCCGCTTCTTGCTGGAAACGGCCGGGGGGGGGGGGTAGTGCCCTTGTGCTCGAATCCTGCTTGCAGGTTTTCACAGGATCACAGAGCTGTAGACTTGGGAGGGAATACGCAGCTGTCCCATACAGGGACGGAGGCTGCAACCTTGGTGGGGTCAGCATCAGGCTCTGATATTCCATTACAATATCTGGTGAGAAGAGGATGCTGCAGAAGGGCCACTGGCCAGATCCAGCAAGATTTTCTTAAGCTAACCAATGGGGGAGTTGGGAGTCCCTAAAACCTTTTGAGGTGGGTGCACGTCCTGGGAATCAAGTGAATGAGGTTGCTAATGTCCCGAACTGCCCCCGACAACAAAGTGGGTGTGTTGAAGCAACACCGAAGCTGCTCTAATCTAAGTTATGTTGTGACTCTTTGGACGCAGCTCTTCTCCGGCAAAGGGAATTCTCTCGTTTCATCTGCTCTGCACACTCACCTTTCGTATTCTGCCTGCCATACTTTCCCCGCAGAACATCCTAGGGAAAAGAGCAGAAAGCACAACTGGCATCAGGAGCACCACAATAGGGGTCCATCCTACCTCCTCAAATTGCTGGGCTGCGTGACAACTGCATGGATAGTTTGGATGAGCAGCACAACCAGGAACAGGAAGCCCCCATGCAGGTGGAAGGGGCTTGGGGAACAAAAAGCAGCCACCCTTGGCTCTTTATGCTGGCCCATGTAGAACCAGCATGAATAGTTAGCCCCAGGGAATATTTGACGTTTTCTCCCCTTAAGGCTTTGATCTATAGGCTACCACTGAAACAAGGCTGTATTTTAAACTGTATTCTAACCTATATTTTAATCAACTGTTGTTTTTTAAAGATGTTTTTACTGTATTTTATATTTGGTGTTAGCCGCCCTGGGGAGAGCTTGGCTGGGGAGAGCAGGGTATAAATAAAATATTATTCTTATTATCGTAGAGAGAGCAACAGAGAGAGAGAAAATACTGACAAGGTAACAAGAAGATGGCAGGCCCTGTGGACTGGCTGGTGGTCTTGCCCCTCCATGGCTCTGAGGGAGCCCCATGACGTCAGGCACGCCAAAGGCACTGCATGGATGGGAACAGCCCTGCCTTGCAGGCCTTTTCCCACCTGGTCTGGGAAGGGGAGGCCCTGACTGATGGACTACAAAAGCTGTGGGGTTTTTGGGGGGGTGGGGGAGATGTCTTGTTGGCGTTGGTGCTGTTAAGTCTTTGTACCTTTATTTTGGATCTTATGGATCACGTGGAAATTGTACAATTCGGTTGTGTACTTTTTAATGTTCAATGTATTTTTATGACTACTTTTCTAAAGTTTGCAATTATTCAATTATTTAAATGCTGCAAGCCCTTCCTTCCTTCCCCCTCCCCTTTTTATGAAGATTGCCCACTCTGAGACCCCACAGCTAATTCTCCCCTGGTCTCCTCGTTGGCCCAAATCGGACTAATTTAGCCAGCTAGCCCTGGTGATAATCTAATGTTTATTGGATGGATTTCCTCCCTAAATTGATTTTTGAATTCTGAATTTATTGTTATTCACGTTTTATACTGTATTTTATGCTGTTTTTCGTTGCATCAATTAAGTGTTTTAAATTTGTTGTTAGCCGCCCTGAGCCCGGTTTTCTGAACCGGGAAGGGCCGGATATAAATAAAACTGTATTATTTATTATTATTAGAGCCTGGTTAAAACTGTGGAAAGGTGGAACGAGTGATTGATACAAATAAAATGGCTGATGGATTGCCTCTGCACAAAGGGCCCCCCTATTACTCCAACCCCAGTTGCTGGAGGGATGGGGGGGGTTTGTGCTCAGGTCCGGCTTGGGGGCTTCACCGTGAGTTGCCTGGCTGGCCGCTAGGAGAAGAGGATGTGGGCCTGGATGGGGCTCCCTTTGGCCTGTTCCTGCTGCAGGCTCCCACCAACCCATTCCTGATGTTTCTCCTGCCTGCCAAGTCTGGAGAAGGAGCTCAGTGGGGCTCCTCACACCTACCGCTGGAGTCGCCAGGGGCTGCTTCCGGCTGCGAGGCGGGATCCTTGCGTGGCTCCCTGGTGTGACCACCACAGTCTTCGGCTTCCTGGCTGCTCAGGCCAGAGGCCTCTTTCCCACTGCCCTTCCCCACAGCGTCCATCCTGCAGCCTCGTATGGAGCCTGGCTCTAGTGCGGCAGTCCCTTCTTGCATCTCTGGAGTCCTTGCGCCACCAGGGCTGGCATTCAGGGCCGCAGGGCTGCTGGCTCCTTCTCCCGGCATGCTCTGGGTGCCTTGGGCAGCAGCTTCTCCATCCAGACTCTCCTCCTCCGTCTTCTGCCTTTTCCTCGCTGGTTCTTCCTCTGACAGAGCAGGAGAAGCCCTGCTGAGCTCCGTCTCCCCTGACTCAGCCGGGTCCTTCGGGAGAGCAGAGTCTTTGCCTTGCAGGACTTCGGGGCCATCCTCCTTGAGGCGTACAGAGTGCAGCAGCCAGGGGCTGGCGAATCTCCTTGCCACCAGCCGGGTGGTGTGGCCGCCGACTTCTAACACATGCTCCAGGTCAATGAGGTCCTAAGGGGGAGAAGGAAAACCAGGACCACCCTCAAAGAGAATCAGAGCAAAAGCCTACAGAACTAGATCTCTTAAGGTCCATGAATAACCATAGTTTAGAGGTCCCGGGCCCTAAGGAAGTCAAGACTATCCTCCACCAGGGCCAGGGCCTTCTCAGTGATGGCTCCGACCTGGTGGAATGCTCTGTCCCATGAGACTAGGGCCCTGCAGGATTGAACTTCCTTCCGCAGGGCCTGTAAGACAGAGCTATTCCGCCTGGCCTTTCATTTGAATTCAGCCTGATCTTTTATTTCCCTCCCCTCCCCCCCCTTTTATGAAGATCACCCACTCTGAGACCCCACAGCTAATTCTCCCCTGGCCTCCTCACTGGACCAGTAGGACCAGTTCAGCCAGCTAGCCCTGGGGATTATCTAATGCTTATTAGATGGATTTCCCCTAAATTGATTTCTGAACTTTGAATTTTATTTTTATTCATGTTTTTATACTGTATTTTATGCTGCTTTTACAATTAAGTGTTTTAAATTTGTTGTTAGCCGCCCTGAGCCCAGTTTTTGAACCGGGAAGGGTGGGTTATTATTATTATTATTATTATTATTATTATTATTAATCTCTCTCCCCCATCACGTGGGGATCTCTGCAGTCCAAATGACAATTTGTGCTTGCCACATATGAAGGGGTTAAGACCCACAAAGTTGCAGAATTCCTAGACAGGACAATTTTTGAGGTCATATCCCCTACATACTGTGGTGAGAAAAGGAGTAAAAAGATCTTAATATGGCCTCCTTCCTGCTTGGCTCAGTCTCTTTCTTCTTGCCAGACCTTTGATGGAGCAGGATGTCTGTCCATTCTCCTCTGAGAGAAGATTCCATCTGGATTTTTAGAATGCAACTTAAAAAGTAGATTTGCCTGCCTTGTATTTGTTGCTGTTACTGCTGAAATCAAGGACAAGGCTATCTAAAGCACGTAAACATTGTTTTACACTTACCATACAGTTTATTGCCTGACTCTTTATTGAGAAGGAAGGGAAATTCCAGCCTGCTATCACAGTCTGGACAAAACAAAATTAAACTAATTTAACCTTAGTCTCTAGTTTCTGTTTTACATGTCGCAAGGGATGGTGACTTTTTAACTCTGCTAACCCAGCGTTTTAAATCCTACGTGCACGCGAGACAGGAAGGAGAACTGCCGTTAATAAGCCTTTCCTACCTGACGAAATCCACCTGACACATCGCACCCACCTGGAGGTACTGGGGCAAGAGCCACGTGCGATCCCCGCCGGCCACTTCGTAGTGCTGGAACTGCCTGGCAAGGTCCACCGTGGCCACCCCAAAGTGGGAAGCCTCACCGATGGCTCTGCAGACTTCCAGGGCGGCGGCAGCATCTGCAGGGCTGTAAGAGAGGCGCTCCAGGGACTGAAGAAGGTGGCCTGCCTCGCAGTCTTCTTCCTGGACACCAAGGAGTCTGGTGAAGGCGATGGGGAGGCAGGAGGCTCCGACGGGGAGGTTCTCCAGATCTGGCGGACCTACAAGCACAAAATGGGGCGGGTCAGGACAGAGGGAGCCCGGCAGGCCACCCTAGCTAGCCGCTCTGCCACATATGTGGGGGTCAGGTGGGATTGCTATGAGGAATGATGAAAAATGCAACACACCACTGTGTCAGCGATGAAAGCCTTGCTTTGACTGGGCTTGCGTCATTTGGCATGATTTCTGATCGAATCCCACAAGCCTCTGCACCTCTGCCCCATTTTCTTTCTCTACACCTGACAGGCACATATAAGCATTCTAAAACAGACTGGTTGCTTCACCAGGCACCCTCAGTACATAAAGATAGAAGGTAGCTTTGATGTAGCTTTTGTTAGTTTTGTTAATCTTTAGATAGATCTTAAGGGCCAGGAACAGAGTTCACAAAGAAATGGTAAATACTCTTTCCTTGCCTGTCCTTCCTTTCCTGCCTGACCTCCGGGGTTGGCTAAATGCATTCCTCCTTGATTCCTGTTTTATTTACTCTGAAACATGTATGCATGCTCAAAGTAGTCTTTGTACTTAAAAGGATTTCTCTGATCTAACTTTGTCCCACGTGGGGATGTTTTGGAAATGCTCAGAGGAAATCTGATTGGTTTTTACAAACGCTGTGTTAAGAGTTTTTTTGTTAATAAAAGGGACCTGGGCCAGGGTGTAGCAGATTATTATGTGCACTTCCTCCCAGAGTCTTGCTGTGTATTTTATTAATCAGGGTCCAGTCCTTCCTTGCTTTCAGAACGCAACACACATACAGGCAGCCTACTTCCTTCGCTGGCAGACGAAGCCCTCGCCCTGCCAGGGGGAAGGTGAGGAAGAGCTCCTCTGCCTACAGACTGACCTTGAGCCCAGAGGCTGTCCTGGGCAGGGGTCTTCCTCATCTTCACCTTCACTTGGCAGGAATTGACGACGATGTTGTCGGTGGGGCTCAGGTTGCGAGTGCTGACGATGCCGGGGGCATAGTAGCCTCTCATGAGGAGGTAGTTTGTGTGCGACGCCTGGTGGGCCTTCACCTCAATCTGCCGCTTGCTGGTCGCGTTCTCCTCCAAGTCCTCATCGTCGTCGTCCTCCTCCTCGTCCTCCTCCAGCCCCTCTTTCCCCAGGCTGCAAGGAGCAGACACCCATTTCAAGGTCTGCTACATCAAAGGAGCAGCTGCCGCCGCCAGTCCAACCAACCCCCCTCGCCAGCAGCGTTTCCTGCGGGTTGCCCTCCTGTGTGGCCACGGAGCAGACACTATCTCTCAGCCTAACTTGCCCAGGTGGTTGTGCAACTCATATGGGAGGAAAGAAGAGCCACATATTCTTCCTGGACTGACGTGTAAGATCTATTAATCCCCACCAATCTAAAACCAAAAGCGGCTCTGGCACATTTGATTCGGGGTGGTATTCCATTTGCCATTTGTAGGTGTTCTTCGGGTGGCTGATTCTGCTGTGGAATCTACAGCTGCTCTGCCAAGGTCCCCTGGTGCCAGTTCTCCCAGCGGAGCCTCTGGCCAGCAAGCCGCCTGCAGCAGAGGTCGGCTCTCCACCCGGAGGACGTTGTTTAAACAGTCCTGTGAACATCTTTCTGTGGGGGGGGTAGGACTTGTCTAAAACGCTCACCCAATGACATAATGGCCTTTTGCAATAAGCACAGTTATACATTTTCTGTTTCAGTTGTTTCCATCTGTTCTAGTTTATCTACTTAATAATAATAATTTATTTATTTATCCATTCATTCATACCCCGCCCATCTGGCTGGGTTTCCCCAGCTACTCTGGGCGGCTCCCAATAGAATATTATTATTATTATTATTATTATTATTATTATTATTATTATTATTAAAAAGAGATAAAACCTCAAACATTAAAAACTTCCCTAAACAAAGATGTCTTGAGATGTCTTCTAAAAGTCAGATAGTTGTTTATTTCCTTGCCTTCTGATGGGAGGGTGTTCCAAAAGGCAGGCACCACTACTGAGAAGGCCCTCTGCCTGGTTCCCTGTAACCTCACTTCTTGCAGAGAGGGAACCGCCAGAAGGCCCTCGGAGCTGGACCTTGGTGTCTGGGCTGAACAATGGGGGTGGAGACGCTCCTTCAGGTGCACTGGGCCGAGGCCAATTAGTTGTTTTTGATCTTTTTGCAAACTGCAACCAACAAACATCACAACAAACAACACGAGACAAAGGCAGCTCACTGATCTCGCTGCTGCTGCTTCTGCCTGAAGTGTGGAAGAGCAGCTATGAGCCTCTCCTTGCTCTTCTCTCTCCACATGTTCCCCACGTGTACCAAACCCCAGTCAATGGCCTCAGCAGGATTGCAAAGCCACCAGAAAAGCCTCTGCCCCCTGGCTTAGCAGCTCATGCAGAGGCGTCAGGGAAAGGGGTTGAGGAAGAGCCCCAGGGCTGCCGCTGCTGCTGCTGTGCACCCCAAATGGGTGGGTGGGCTTCAGTCTACCTCCCCCCACTGCCACCCCCTTCCAAACCAAGTGCCAAGGCAGCCCCACCTTTTAATGACTTCGTTCTCCACCAGGGTGCTGTCCACCACCACAATCTGCTCTGGGATCATCACGTCCACAGACGCCAAGCCCAGGGAGAAGAGGGCCAGGATGGCGGCACAGTAGCCCCCAGGGCCGTCCAGAGGAAAGGTGACCATCTCCTCGGAGGCAGAGGAGTCGTCTTGGTCCTTGAAAGAGAAGCGAGTGGCTTGGTCCTGCGCTCCGGCCTCCTGGAGCTTCGAGAGGAACTGGTACGACTCGCTGCAGAGCATTGTGGGAAACCGCCACGTGAACACCCTGGAGAGAGAATCCGAGAACTGTTGAGTTGGAGGGGGACCCCAGGGGTCCTGCAATGCAGGAATCGCAGATAGATAATCCCTGGCAGAGGTTTCCAGCTGACGTCACAATTTATGGCGGTCAATCTCCACTGCCCTCCAGGGAATTTAACAATGTTTTATTAAGCCCTCCCCCCTCGACTGAAGTTGAATGGACTTCATTTAAAATTATCTCTGGACTGGACCAGGAGTGTAAGGGAGCAATTCCGAGTGAGAAGAGGAACAGCTACTAATTACATCTGTCAAGAGGCTGCATTTGTGAAAAAGGATCTGTTTTTAGCTGTGTGCCGAGGAAGAACCCCAGAGTGGAATTTTAATGGCGGAGAGTGGACACGTTATCTGGGAGTTATTTATAGCCGCAGCTTGTATGCAAGTTGGTGGACAGCGGAAGGAATGGAATGTACAAAGAAAGATAGAGATTAACTCTCCCAGCGGACAAGGTCTGAGAACAATGTTTATGAAGGGCTATACACATGAAATGGATCCTGCATTTATGAGAAACAAGAAAGGTGCTGTATATAAGGAAACAACAAAGGTCAGCTGTGAGAATGGACTAACACATGGGTAGGCAAACTAAGGTCCGGGGGCCAGATCTGGCCCAATCGCCTTCTAAATCTGGCCTGTGGACGGTCCGAGAATCAGCATGTTTTTACATGAGTAGAATATGTCCTTTTATTTAAAATGCATCTCTGGGTTATTTGTGGAGCATAGGAATTCGTTCATTTCCCCCCCCCCCAAAAAAAAATATTCCGCCCCCCCCCCAAGGTCTGAGGGACAGTGGACCGGCCCCCTGCTCAAAAAGTTTGCTGGCCCCCTGGACTAACATCAAGAGAAGAATTAAAGAGGAGATGAAAGAAGGATGAAGTGGCTACATGAGGAAGTAATGGACGTATGTTTGCAATAGGAGGGAGAACTTACTGTATTATATCAAAGTAATTTGAACTAATTTCGACTAATTTGTAATAATCTGGAAAACCAAGAAAAAGAGGAAGAGGAAGAAGAAGAATCATCATCCCTGGCAGATGGCTGTCCAAAGAATTTCCGAGGAAGGAGAGTCCACAATCTCTCTTGGGAGTCCGTTCCTCTTTCGAACAGCTCTTACCGTCAGAAAGTTCTTCCTACTGTTCAGTTGGAATGCCCTTTCTTGCCATAGGACTCCCTTGGGTGGGGTCCTGCCCTCTGAAGCAGCAGGAGGCACAAGCTTCCTCCATGTGACGGCCCTTTATAGATACCTGAAGACGCCTCTCATAAAGGGCAGCCGCATGGAAGATGGCGCAAGAGCTAAGCTACCTTGTGTTCCCCTGGCTGGACAAAGGGGTGGGCTCCCCTGTGCTCCAGCATGCCAGGCAGAAAGGGGCGAGGGAAGCCCCCAGGAAGGGCCGTCTGGGCTCCCCTGGGAGGGTGTGTTCCCCCCAACACAGCCTTGGTTCTCCTGGCTGCCCCCCCCATCCCCCCAGCCTCTGCTTTGCACTGGCAGCCTCAGGCAGGGCACTGACCTGTAGTAGCTCTGAGAGAGCTGGTAAGACATGGGCACAAAGGGCAGTGCCCGGCTCTTCTTGGGGCCCAGGCTATGGTTGCCCCTCCGGCGGTTCACGAGGCTCCTCTTCTGGCAGTCCAAGAAGGCCTTGACCAGGAGGTCGTCCCCGTACTCCCGGTAGAGGCGGAAGGTCTGCGGACACAAACACGCGCAGGCAGCTAAGAGCTGGGAACTTCAGCTCCCCATTATAACATCTCTCAATGTCTGTTTGCTTTTGGGGAGGGTAACATTTCCGTGGTATTTTCAGGCATCTTTTCCAGCCACTTTTGCCATTTCCAACATGCCCAAATCATTTCGCCAGCATTTTGAAGTGCCTCCTAGACCTTTTCCTCGCCACGCTTACAACCTACCTTCCTTTCCTGTTTACTGCCTGTTTATGCTAAATGCATAAAGTAGTTCTTTGCAGTTAAACGGATTCCTCTGATCTGACTTTGTCTTGTCCCATGTGGGGATTTTTTGAAACGCTCAGAGGAAATCTGATTAGTTCTTACAAACGCTGTGTAAGAGTTCTTTTGTTAATAAAAGGGACCTGGGCCAGGGTGTGGCAGATTATTATGCACACTTCCTCCCAGAGTCTTGCTGGCCAAGCCTTGTGTGTATTTTATTAATCAGGGTCCAGTCCTTCCTTTACCTTCAGAACGCAGCAGACTAGAGGGGCCACTGGCCTCATCCTGAAGTCTCTTTACAAGTTCTCAGGCGCATAGGCCAGCTGTCTTCCCACCTACTCCCCCAGGCATCAGTGTCCTCAGATGCTCAAGCCCCAGTATGTTTCCTTGAGCCCCCAAGATAGGTGAGGGGACGCCCACACCTCAGCAGACCAAGGTTCTCTCTACCTGAAATGACTGGCAGGACTTCATCTGGTTGTCGGAGAGGGCCAGCGTGCTCTGGATCAAGTTCTGCAGCACCAGAAAGTGGATGTCGGCGATGCTGGAAGGAAAGAGCCTGTGTCAATCTGAAATCGGCCTTCGCAGCACAGATCCTTCTTTCTTAAAGATAAAGCCCAACTTCAGGGATTAATAAACCGCTCCACATCTTAGCAATGTGGTCCCAGTTTGGGAAGCTGGAATGGGGTGGGGTGGGGGGTGTCTTGGCACTTGGGGATACTGGATTTCAGTTTCAAATGGTTCCCAACAGGAGAAGGAAGCCTTTTATGCTTCTCCCCAGCCCACTTTGCCTCACCTGCTGAGCACATCCTCTTTCTTGCTTTGGGTCGTTTCATCTCCGATGGCCAGAACTCGGAACCTGGAAAAGGGCAAGGAAGGAGCCACAGGGAGATCTCACCAAGGTGGCACACACAGGCGCATCTCCCTTTATCCCAGGGGTACACCCACCCCGGCACGCAGGTGGCCCAAAAGGACCCCTGGGCCCCAACCCCAGAAAGCCCCTGCCAGGCTGAGTTAGCTGAAGGCAGTTTCCTACAGACCCGCCAGGGACTGGGGCAGATTCTGATGGGCAAGAGCCAGGTCTGCTGGTTTCTCGGCAGACGGGCAGCTCAGCTCCTGCAGGGCCACCCTCTCAGAGATCCAGAGAGGCCCCGGCCACTGCCAGCTCCTGACCCAGCCCTGCCAGCGGGGTTTGGCCAAGGAGATACCTGCGGAAAAGCTCCTCCAGGGTGTCTGGGATGGCAGGTCTGGGATTCCCCAGCGTGGAGCTGAACTTCTCCTTCAGCCTCTCCACAAACTCCTTGAACTCTTCTGCACAAACCTTTGAGAAGCGGAGGGAGGGAAGTCAGTCAGTTCTGAACAAAGCCTGGTCCTGGGAACCAGCAAAGCGGGGCCCACACCCGGTTCCGTCTCTCAGGGTCACCTGCATGAATGGCACCTGCGCACTCGTCTCTGTTTCAAGGGCTCCTCTGGCAGGGCAGGGGCGGAAGGAGGGGCTGGGAGGAGGCCTGGAGGTCTCCTGCCCGCCTTCCCAAAGCCCAAGAGGGGCAGGAGGCGGCAGAAGAAGAACCAGTGGCTCTGGCATCAGCCCACTCCTTGTTTGGGTCCACTGCTGAGAGGCTGGCAAGGGTTGCCCATTTGCTATGGGGCCATGTTCAGGGTGTCACTGTTTGTATATGAAGCCCTTAACTACTTGGGACCAGATTCCCCACGAGATCGCCTTTCCCCACCCATTCCACCGCGTCCCTCAGTGGAACTGGCCCTGTTACAGGTGACACAGAATTCCCATTCCACACCTGTAATAACTGGATTGTTTAGTTTGGCATCTACACTTTGCAACTCCCTGCCTGTTGATATCACTGTACTCATTCTGGCACCTGCTCAAAGCATTCTTGGTTAGGCATGCCTACCCAGAGGCTTCGAAGCTGAGATATTCTTACTCTATTTTAACTTTTGCATGTTTTAAAGCAGGGTTGTGGTTTTTTCTTGAGTTTATTGTTTTATCTTCTTGTAAATCTGACTCGCCTGCTGCCTTCGTTGCATATCCTTAGGTGCCAGGCAAAAACGTTCCTCTTCTCCCAGGCCTTTGGCTAATTAAACAATCTATGGCCTTTTAAACTGGGGTGTGTGTGTGTGTGTGTGTGTGTGTCTTGTTTTTGTTTGTTATTATGGTATGTCTTGTTGTGTTTTTATATTGTAAACTGCCCTGTGATATTTGGATGAAGGGTGGTATAGAAATTAATGATGATGATGATAAACTGCTTTGAAGTTTTTTACAATCGAGTGTTAAAGGGTAAAGGTAAAGGTAAAGGTACCCCTGCCCGTACGGGCCAGTCTTGACAGACTCTAGGGTTGTGCGCTCATCTCACTTAAGAGGCCGGGGGCCAGCGCTGTCCGCAGACACTTCCGGGTCACGTGGCCAGCATGACAAGCTGCATCTGGCAAGCCAGCGCAGCACACGGAGCGCCGTTAACCTTCCCGCCAGTAAGCGGTCCCTATTTATCTACTTGCACCCGGGGGTGCTTTCGAACTGCTAGGTTGGCAGGCGCTGAGACCGAGCGACGGGAGCGCACCCCGCCGCGGGGATTCGAACCGCCGACATTTCGATCGGCAAGTCCTAGGCACTGAGGCTTTTACCCACAGCGCCACCCGCGTCCCATTTCAATCAAGTGTTATATGCAACTTCAACTTCAAGTGTTATATAACACTTCAATCGAGTGTTATATGCAACTAAAGAAAATATTTCTAGGTTGAAGTGGAATGGAGAAACCCTCCCTGGAGCTGTGCTCAGCATCTCTGCCCATGCAGGGCAGGGCCACTTCAGGCCCATCCTGGGGTGTGTGTATGGACCCAGAGCCCCACACCTGCCCCTGCTCACCTTGGGGTCCTGGTAGTTGCTCTTCCTGTTCATGAAGTCATCAATCAGAGTCCGGTCTTGGTAGACTTCAGCCAGGCAAACCCTGAGGAAGACACCCCCCAGTTTAGCCCTGAAGCTGAGCCTCCCTCCGAGAAGGCTGGCTTCTGTAGAAAACACTTCAAGAGCCACAGAGACAGCCAAAAGGTGGCATCCCCTGGCACCAGCCTCTTCTCCCCAGGAGGGATGGCTGACTCCGTTCGATGGTGATAGGGAAAATGTTGGTTCTCAGAACATTGCCTCACGGGAAGAGCCCTTGGCCACAGCATCCCTGTGTTCTTAGCACATTCACATTCCCCGGTCATAGCTGGGGAAGAGGAACCCCAGGAGGGAGGGAGCCCTGAAGGACACCCTGAGAGCAGGGGAGGCAGTGAAGGACAGAACACGCCACCCCCCCGACACTGGGACACGGAGAGGGCCTTCTTGGTGGTGGCTGCTCCCAGGCAACTTGGGAACTCCCTGCCCTGAGAAGCCAGACTGAGAAGCTCTCCATCCGTTGGCAGGTGAATCCCATTTTGTTCCCACAGACTTTCGGAAACTGACCAAAGGGCTGGTGCTGTGATCTTTTCATTGCAATGATCTGTACGTTTTAATAAACCAGTACATATCTATATATATCCTGCATATAGTGGTACCTCGGGTTACATACACTTCAGGTTACATACGCTTCAGGTTACAGACTCCGCTAACCCAGAAATCGTGCTTCAAGCTAAGAACTTTGCTTCAGGATGAGAACAGAAATCAGGCTCCAGCGGCGCGGCGGCCCCATTAGCTAAAGTTGGGCTTCAGGTTAAGAACAGTTTCAGGTTAAGAACGGACCTCCGGAATGAATTAAGTACTTAACCTGAGGTACCACTGTATTTCATATTTTCTTACAAAGGAATGTGGATTCTGGGCCTCTGATAACAAGTCGGTGACTGTGGGCAGATACTTAAATCTACAGGATGGATTGTGTTTTGGCTTGTATTATTTTATTAATATTTATTGTTCATTTATTTAATAACACTTATTTACTTAACCCGAGGTACCACTGTAGATGTTTTGATGTTTTATTGTTTTCTTATATCTGTTGTAAGCTGCCCAGAGTGGCTGGGGCAACCGAGTCAGCGGGGAAGGGTACAAATATTAAAATTACTATTATTATTAGTAGTAGTAGTAGTAATAATAGTAAAGGTAAAGGTAAAGGTACCCCTGCCCGTATGGGCCAGTCTTGCCAGACTCTAGGGTTGTGCGCTCATCTCACTCTATAGGCCGGGAGCCAGTGCTGTCCGCAGACACTTCCGGGTCACGTGGCCAGCGTGACATCGCTGCTCTGGCAGGCCAGCGCAGCACACACGGAAACGCCGTTTACCTTCCCGCTAGAAAGCGGTCCCTATTTATCTACTTGCACCCGAAGGTGCTTTCGAACTGCTAGGTTGGCAGGCGCTGGGACCGAACGACAGGAGCGCACCCCGCCGCAGGGATTCGAACCGCCGACCTTTCGATCGGCAAGTCCTAGGTGCTGAGGCTTTAACCCACAGCGCCACCTGCGTCCCAGTAGTAATAGTAATAGTTTTTAAATGATTGCTTCCCCACCCCCTGGTGATTTTAGCTGTTTCTATTTTAGCTGTAAGCTACCTGGAGTCCCTTTGTCAGGGAAAAAGGTGGGATATATAGATATAGATATATAATAATAATTTCAAAGCTGCAGCAGCCTCAAAAGCTCAGAAAGAGCACTTAAACGCTTAACTCACCACCAGAGGGTGACAAGAGGATTATCAATGAAAGGTGGGTGTGACTCCATTTGGTCTCGGTCTATATCATTTATTAACAATAAATGGCACAGCCATCTGCCCTCTGTCTCAGCTGCAGCAGCCACCATGGAGAAATCACCTTAACGCTTTAGACTGAAGTACACCCCGAGGACAGCTGCTGAATTTGTAATGTAAAAAGGTTTTCCAAGTTTATGGACGACCGCATGCAAGATTTAACATCTGCACGTTATTTGTCTTGGGAGACAACACTCTGCATTTGGTAACTGCTCTCAAAATTTCCAATAGAGCTCATGAAACGAGGAAAGTGCCTCACTTGTAGTTGAGGTAAGTCTGGGGGTTCTTGACGATGTAGCGCGCCCTCCGCCCCACCGAGTGGCACGTCTTGTCCAGCGACTCCTCAAAGTTGCTGTGCATGATGTCTCGCACCACCTGCCAGGGGACAAACGGCCCCTTCACCTGTGTAGGAAAAGAGAAAGGAGCCCCCGCTCAGCCAAGGCCAGGATCCCTGGACCCTTTGCACACAAGGGAAGCCCAAAGACGCACCCCCTTGTTTTCCCCACTTGCTGGCTGCCAAGTCGCCCCCTCCCAGCCTCGCTGCTGAGATCAGCTTCCCCACCCCCGCCGCCCCGCCCACCTTGGCATTGAGGACGTTGCTGGCGATCCGGCACAGCATGAGCAAGCTGTCCTCCTGAACGGTCCACGTCACGCGCAGGCGGGTCATCCTCTGCAAGGCGCTCTGGTCCGCTTCGTCGTGGTAGCGCGGCTTTTTTCTCTTCACCCCGGTGCCCCCCTCTTAGAAAGGAAGGAGGCAACTTGTGGTGAGTGAACGGCTCGTGGCTCTGCCTCTCCTGTGTGTGTGCGTGGGGGGGGGCAGGTGGGCATCCAAGGCCCACTGCTGTGGGAGGCCAGGGCCCAGCCACTCTGGCCCCCCTGTGCCCAGCAGACCCCAAAGCCAGACAGGAGGATTTGCCCCAGGCCATTAGGAGGACATATAGATCTCAAAGGAAGAGGAAAATCCAGCCTACAACTCCCATGATCCCTAGCTAGCAGGACCAGTGGTCAGGGATGATGGGGATTGTAGTCTCAAAACATCTGGAGGGCCGAGGTCGGGGAAGCCTGATCCAGACCAAAATGGCGCTCAGAGCCCTAAGTTGTTTTTGGCCAGCGAGTGCCATGCACAGCCTGCCCCCCCAGCCCCCCAGTGAGGTAGGCCACCTCTTTTCTTCCTCTTTTTCCTTGTCTTCTTCACCGGCTCCTTCTTAAGCCGCTTCCTCTTCTGGCTCTTTCCGCCCCTCACTCTCTGGCTTCTGTTCAGCGTGGTTTCGCTTTCGACCTCCAGGTCCTCCTTCTGGACCGCAGGATCCGCACCCAGCAGCCCGTCTCCCCAAAGAGAGCTGCTGCTGCCGCCACCTGGGAACCAACAAGGAAATCCTGCACCAGCGAGGAATGCACAGCAAAAACACACGCAGGCGCCGCCTGTCTGGCCAGCAGCAAATTGGGGAGCAGCAGGGAGGGAGGGAGGGGCTTTTATGGGCCCCAAAAGCATGGAAGAGGGAGGCAGCAACTGGAAATGTCAACTGCCGGTCTAAAGAGACTCTCCCAGGCGCATGCGCGAGAATTGCAACTCTGTCTTGCACACACACATACACAGAGCTGTTAAAATGTCTTAGCTTCTGAGCTGTTGAGCTATTTGAGCTACTACTATTTACTTATTTATGTATTACCTGCCCTTCACTCGAAGGTCCCAGGGCAGTTTACAACATTAAAACAAGTGTTAAAAACACTTTACAACAACTTGCGATCACCAAAGTAAGTTGGGTGCCAAAAATATGTGCCTCAGGTGTAAAAAGCCAGGGTAAAGAGATGCGTCCTCAATATCTTCCGGAAGCTGCCAGGCGCACCTCCGTGGGGAGGGAGTTTGCCACCTCAGGGGCCACCACAGAGAAGGCCCTGGGCCACCACCCGCTGAGCCTCTGAGGAACTACCGAGAGAGCCCTCTCTGCCAGTCTCAGCACCCGGGGAGGTCTGTAGGGAAGGAAGCGGCCTACGGGTATTTGGGGCCTGAGTTGTTTAGGGCTTAATTTGATCTGGCTTCTCCTGAGAGGGGCAGTGGCAAACCACAGAAATTGCTGAGTGGATCAGAATCACCCACTGGAGATCTTCAAAAGGAGCACCAGGTGCCGCCAAAATGTCTCGGTGCAATTTAGGAAGAAGGTCAACCTGCATCTAAGTCTCCACTTCCCAGCTCCGTAAAGCGTTTTTCCGCAGTAAGGGCTGCCCAGGACAACAGCCTCTTTGGACCTGTACCAGCTTCACAGCTCCCACAATGGCCACATGAAAGCTGGGTTGTCCCCCCGATTCCCCTGGAGGAGTAGGATCAATGCACAACCATCTCTGTGCCCCCCACCCCGGACACACACAGGGGAGCTCCCAGTCCCATTACCTCTTGTGCTCAGCGGCAGAGAGCGTTTGGTCAGGAAGGTCTGCAGTCTGACCGTGTGCCCAGCTTCAGCAGCAGCAGCGTTCTCCTAGCGGCAAAGCACACAGGTTACCAGCCATGCAAAGGCCGCAGGTGGTTCAAGCTCATACTAGAGAGAGGATTTTGCTTCCTAGCCAAGCTCGGCTGCATCTGGCAGTCACCTGCAAAGCCTGAGCGCCACATCTGCGTCCAATGGACCAAAAAGGAGCCATTCCTGACAACCGCGGAAAAGCCCTGGGAGCAGGGTTGATTAAAATAAATGATAAAAAAAATATCAGATTTTTTAAATTTTAAATTGTATTTTAAAAATAGAATGGTTTTGGAGGAAAAATCTTTCTAAATATAGTTTTCTGTTTAAGTTACCTTATAGTCCAAAGGCTATTCGAAATAAGGATTTGTTTTCAATTTTTCATGTGTGCTAAATTCAGTCTAAGTTTTTTTTAAAACAAACAAACCCGTTTAACCATATCAGTTAACAAACATGGATACATATGCTATAATGTTACTGTTTTAGTTAAATAGTTTAAATTGCTATTATGGAAATGATTATTTTTCTTCTTCCAATAAAGTACAGCAGAAAAGTTGTCCAAATATAAACAATTATTTCATAATTATCTGTCTACGTATTTCTAATAGTATAACCGTATCAGTAATTTTTGATATAACTGTAAAAACTACTCTGAAAATTTATTATTCCAAAAATGAAACCTTCATCAGGTTGTAAATATTAAGATTATACCAGCAAGAACGAGTCTTTCTGTAAAAAAAAATGAGTTAAATCAAGTCTTACTGACTAGTGACGTGACTTAAATTGTGATTTAAATCGATTTGATTTAAATCAAATCCACCCTGCCTGGGAGTGAGGAGGAGGGACGAATCCAGGTGGCAGCACCGGAGGAAATGTGTGGTTTTGGCATTGCATGTGGGCTGCAGAGTGAACTGAGGGCTTCCTACACAAACCTTAGAGAAGCTTTTGCCCATCAAGGACACAACAGTCTCCGTGCTGGGAAAGCGCATGGCTGCTCTTGCCCCTGTGCTCATGCTACTGTGGAGTCAAGAGAGGGGGGTAACGCTGTGCCCACCTGTCCAAAACAGGCTGGGGGGTGCAGAATGTCCTTTCGACTTTGCAGGGGTGGCAGGTAGTTTAGTCTCCGAAAGCCACACATAACATTCAGAATCCGTTGATTTCAGTGCTTAGCGGACAACGGCACCATTCAGAAATAAATTTCAGTTATAGCCACTGAAAATACAGGCAGCTGAAAAGGTGATTTCTGGGAGCAGTCTCTCTCTCCCTCTCAAAAATAAAATGCACGTCAAAGCAAAATTTAGCACAGAGTGGCTTGTGCTAAAAAATCCAGTTTATTTCTTCAACCGTCTGCATTGTTTAAAAAGATATCTATTTTGGGGTGGGGTGAGGGGGAGGAGGCAGTTTTTAAAAAGAATTGTTTGGGAAGGAAAACTCACCCTCCTGGTCTTGTTCATAATGTAGCTGGTCCAAATCCAATTGCGCTTCAAATGGCCGTAAAAGCTGGAATCCAAGCCCCCAGCACCGAGCCCGTCGCCAGGAATGGTGCCGTTGTCCTCCACCTCTCGGCGTCCTCTGAAAGGGGGGGGGGAAGGGCACGGTGAAGGGAACAGCTTAGCCCAGGAATCCTCCAAGGCCAGCTCTGCTCTGCTTAGGACAGAGTGTGGGGGGTGGGTGGGGGGGGGAGGCTTGGTCCTGCCATGCAACTATTCCAATGACTTCTGACTAAACCTTATGAAGAACTTTCTCAGAAGGTGTTCAACCTTGGAGGTTTTTAAGCAGAGGTTGGATGGCCATCTGCCATGGCTGCTTTAGCTGAGATTCCTGCATTGCAGGGTTGGGCTGGATGTCCCTTGGGGGTCCCTTCCAACTCCACATTTCTATGACTCCAAGTGACTTCCTACTCCTCTCACTTCCTGATGCTACTAACCCAACTTCAGGAAAGGGTGCCTGATTCTTCCAGACAGCAGTAGCTGTAGCACAGCTTAGTTTTTGTGCTGGGCCTTTTCTGTATTAACATTGAAAAGGCAAATAAAGAAATGCCTTTAAAAGGAGAGGGGTAGGAAACCCCAATGGGCCTTCCAGAGTCTTTTACGTCGTTTTTGATCCTATCTGCTGCACTCCTATTACTGTCATACCTTGGGTTACGAACTCTGTGGGTTGCGTGTTTTCGGGTTGCGAACCGCGCCAAACCCGGAAGTACTAGAACGGGTTACTTCTGGGTTTCGGTGCTCACACATGCACAGAAGCACAAAATGACATCACGCGCATGCGCAGAAGCGCCGATTCACATCACACACATGCGCAGATGCGGCGCTTCAGAACGCTGCAGGTTGCGAACATGCCTCCCGCACGGATCCCGTTAGCAACCCGAGATATGACTGTACAAGGAGCGTGAATCCGCACAGAAAGGGCTCAATGGCGCTTCTCTTCTAGAACACACAGACGTCCATTGCAGTGCAAGCAAAGAGCATTTAAGCCCCTGCATCTCAGATCTGATCAGCTAAGACCTGGAGAAAGCCTAGGGGGCTCCTCTTTTCCTCCCTGCTGGAGCCCTTTACCAGCCCTGCCTCCGCTGGCAGATGGGAGTCACCCTCCACCCCTGGGTGCATTCTGCCCTGCCAAAGCAACACCCCAACTCGGCAACACGCCCCGTTCCTAGCAAGCAACCACAGAGGAAAGGGGACGTACGTGGTGTATTCCAACATGGCGCACTTGCGCTCAAGGTTGTGCCTGTGGGCTGCCGACTCTTGCTCCAGCGCCACGTCCAGGGTGGTGCCAGCCTCGCTGGCTTGCGCTCCGCCCCTCCTGGCACGGGGGTGGCGGACAATTCCTGAAAGGAGGAAGGGGAGGAGCTGGTCAGCAACAGCAGCAGCAACCCTGCCATGGGCCAGAGAATGCAGAGGCAGGAGCTGAGAGCTGCAGGATATGGCAGGAGAGGGTGGAACGAGAGGCGGCAATACGCTCTGTACCTAGTGGCGTATTGAGGCAGACGCACTGCAGATCAAACCAGAAGTTTTCCACGTCTTGCAGGGTGTTCAGAGCATACAAGCGCCTGTCAAAGGGGCGGCTGCTCTGAGCCAGGTTGTAGTGGGGCTCACAGACGGTGGTGTCCACAATCACAGCGTTCTTCTTCAGGTAGACAAAGACCTGCAAGACAACCACAAAAGCTCAGGGGCAAAGCAACCGAGCAAGGACGGACTCGAGGGATTTAGGGAGTTAAGTCAAAACTAGGGTACCCCTTCCTTGCGTGATTGGATAGCAGCCAAGTGCTCTCCTTTGACACACGCACAAAAACACTGCTGAAGAAGCAGGGCATCTCCACAAGCCTCGTGAAGCCATCCTGCGAAGAGAGTTGCTGGGGTGGGCCACCCTGGGCCAGGCTCAGTTGTTCGGCCAGCAATATGATGCAGCCGCTCAAGGCCATTCCAGCTGCAACCCAGTGTTTTGGGAAAGAACAATCCCAGCTCCGGAGACAGAAGGGCCTGCCCAGCAACTGCCTGGACCCACAGAGGCGCAGCTTGGCTCAAGATGGGCATCACAGCTTTGCAACCACTTCCCTTTTCTAAAAGTGGCAAATCAATTGTCGCAACGTCTGCACTAGAGGAGCAAACTGGGATATTCACATGCCACAATTACTTTAATAGGCTTTTCTGCCTCCTTGAGGTGGTAACTGCTTAGCAATGTCAGGGCACTTTGGCTGCCGTCAAATGCTGCTTCTTTTGCAAACCTCTAAGCGGCCACAGACGGCATTCCTTGCAATTCATTCCTATCTGGCCTCAAGGGTTGGCATTTTTCTCCCTCTCCACCCAGGTTGAGACAGGGCAAAGCAGACTCCAGTCCACAAATCTTTCTGCAACAATAGGTCGATCTTTATAAAGTGCTTCCTTCTTTTGCTGCCGCAGACTAAAACACTTTTCTTCTGGAAAGGGTTTCTCTCGTTAATCAACAAGGACAAACGTCTAATAGAAGACTAGATGAGAAACACAGGGAGGCAGGCACAGCTCCTGTGAACTGGCCAATGCAGGGAAGGGACGGGGCTGGAACCTCTTCTACCTGCCCAGGTGCATCTGGTGACCCTGCAAGTCTGGAGGGACAGGAGGCAGGCAGAACCCACACCTGGGGGTCTCCTTGCCCACTGGGGACAGGGGAAGTTTCCCTCATTACTCCTGTAGGCATTGTGTGTGTTTTAAAAGTAAGCTGCTTTGACCATCAAGCGGCAGAGGTGTAGATACGTAGCAGTAACCTTACCTGATCTTTTTCTTGAAATTTCTCTGTGGGTCCAAACTGAACCAGCCCCATGTAACACAGCCGCTGAAGGCTTTCCACTACTGAGAAGATGTATCTCCTGTAGCAAAGAGATTAAGGACTTGAGACTCATCAACTTATTTCTGTCAGTTAGCTTCCAGGCACTCCACCAGTCACCTCCCCTCTCCTCCCGCAAAAAAGAAGAAGAGAAAGACCTGGCAGGTTTTCCAATATGCATAATTCTCTGACATATCCCATATTCAAACAGCTTGAACTGTCCTTTGGAATATTTACAGCCCTCCCCGGGTCCCAGTTCAAGACATTCTGACCTAGGCCCAAGGAGGGGGGTGGGGAGTGTCTACAGGCCACCAGTTTTAGTTCAGAGCTGATTCAAACAGACCACCAAGGCAACCTCTGAAAGTCAGAGACATCCCCCTGCCCACAAGGTGATGTTCTGGGTCAACAGGGGCTAAAGCAGTGAATCCGTTCCCTCTCCTTTCTCTAAGGAAGGCTTTGGCGCACCGGTGGATGGCTGTTTAGTGAACAGACTATATTGCAAGCTGAGGTTTTTTATGCTACTGACTTGAACTCTGTGATCACGAAGCCCTATGTAATGGAGTGGGAGGGGGGTGGCAGAAGAGGAGAAGAGATAGAGGCAGGACCAAGATCACTTGCTGAATGTTTTACACGAGACACAAAGTGAGATGTTCTTTCACAATGCCTGACATTTGTGCCTTTGACTCCCTGATCCTTTCTGAACCCTTCATCTTACTGCACCTCTTTCTTAGTAGTTTTCTCTCTGCTCCCAGTTGCATTCATAAATTTTACCTTATGCAGAGGATGAGAGTGGTGTTGGTTTGACATGGACAGCTCTTATAAAATCACACGGCCGTTCTACCTTTTTAGAGAATGATTCGCACTGCTCTAATATTGCCCCGGTTTGGATTCCGAGCTCGTGGAGCCGGACCTTTGAAAACTTTGGTATTCTCTGCTACTCTGAAATCGCACCCTGTGCCCAAATCTACACCTGCTGAAGATGCTTACCTCTTGTAAAGGAGCTTCTGGCGGATCGACCTTGGAAGGTATCGGATCAGCGTGTGTTTCTTCAGGGGATCATTTAAATAATCTTCCAGGTTATCTACCTAAAAATTATGAATTAAATTGCAATGTAACTTAAGTCTGGCTATCTTTCTGCTTTTCCTAAGCGAAGCCCAGGGATATTTTGTTAAGAAACAGAACGACTGCAAGGAAGGCTGTGGCAGCAGCAGGGAAGCTGAAAAGGCCCCCACAGGAGGCTGGCCAGGACCTCCACCCGTGGCCTTGGCTAGCGGTGCCCCTGGGTGGGGCAAGCAGCTTTTGCCCCACCACCAAAGGATTTAGCTGCCACCCCTCCAAAGGATCAGGCGGCAACTTGTAGCCACAGCAGAACTGACGGGAAATTGGGAGCAGAAGCCCCGAGGGGCGGCTGCCTTTCGGCCAAGAGAAATCCCTGAACTGAAGCCCAGCACCTTGTAGCTGACTTGCACTATCTGGGTAAAGATGGAGAGTGGCAGGCAGAGGAGGATGTCGCTGACGAGAGCCCAGCCATGGCCAAACTCCCGGTGGAGCGGGAGAGGAGGGACGTGCCGCTTCCATGAGGCGTCGTCCACATACACTGCAAGGGAAAGAGAGAAAACGGTTCTCACGGCCGCAACAGACCCATCTCCTTTCACGGCGGGGTCAAGGGAGAGTCACACCAACACATGGATCTCTGGTGTGGAATACTGTGGGGATTTCTGGGCGCCTCACCTGCAGGAGGATACTGCAGAGCTGGGGAGAAATTGGAAAAGAGCCACCAAAAGGATGAAAGGGGTGGAGTGACTCCCCCAGGAGGAAAGATGAGGAAGAAGCAACAATAAAGATGTACTGTACTTTTCCGTGTATGAGATTTCTTTACTCTAAAATAATTTTTAAAAATAGGGGTTGTCTTATACATGGATAGTGCATAGGGGGGGGAGGTAACTGGGTGGGTGATTGGTTGCTGTGGCAAGGTTTCCTGTTGATTGGCTGCCGCTGCAGCAATTAGGCGTGTGATTGCTGGCAAGTGGGCAGATGCCCGTCAGCTTCTGCAATGTGAGCGTTAGTCATCCGGGTTAGTGATTTTCAGCACACCGCCCCCAAAGCTCAACAACCTTGGGCAATTCTCCCCCAAAAAAGCTCAACAACTTTGGGCCATCTCCCCCCATTTTCTAAAATTTGTCCCCCCAAATAGGGGGTGTCTTATATATAGGGGCGTGTTATACACAGAAAAACATGGTATAAAGTTATGCAAAGTGTGAAGAAAGTGGACAGAGAAAAGCTTTTCTCCCTCTAACTTTATTATTATTATTATTATTATTATTATTATTATTATTTACAACATGGCCACTGTACAAACAGGATGGGGAAAGAAATGGACCACAGGGTTGTTCTTATGTACATGAACAAGTTGTGTTCGCCACCATTCATGCTGAAATGCATATACTCAGGCCACATCTCATTTATGTGCTACAGTGACACAGGAATGTCAGAATTTACTCCAGCTCCTAGGTGACACTAGCTGAGAAGGGCCCTTGTTTAGTTAAGGTGTGGGGAGGGATGGAACCCTCCGACTTGTGGTTGGTGCTAGAGGGAAGAGGTGGAAAAAGAAGACAGCAAGCTCCACGAGGGCTTCCTGAATCCTTCCCCCACCCCTCAAGATCTCACAACCCAGGCTGGCTCCACAGCTGGGCAGAGGTCACAGGTGGCTCCCTGCGGCTGATCCCAACCGAGGCATTGGGGCTGCCCAGAGTCCACAGTGCTGCTGCTGCATCACTTGGAGGCCTCCCTGACTGAACCAAGCCCAGCCGTCAGGAACTCAGAGGATGCTTCCCAGGAGCATGCGCACAACACTCAGCCCCTCATGCGTGCATCTTCCCATGGAAGCACATAGCAGTGACAAACACTGTGAAAGCCCTTTGCTGCTGCCCCTGCAGAGCCCTAGGAGGGCCCTTAGATGCCCTGGGACTGTTTTCCTGGTGGTCCTGCCCCCTCCTGGGCACCGCAGGGCAGTGACCCAAAAACGGGCCCTTCCCGCCATTACCCCCGTGCTGTGGAAATGATGCCCATCCCTTTGCCCTATCAGCTGCTTCAGGCATCCCCTAAACAGGAACCTTTTTGCCCAGGTTTCCCCAGACTGATTGCTGAGCTCCTGTCTGTAGCATGCTGTTATTAGTATTTACACCAGAGGTTGTCAAACTAAGGCCCACGGGCTGGATACGGCTCACTGGGCTCATTTAATTCGGCCCACGCAGAGGCCTTGCCAGGCGGAGACTGACTTCCGCGACGCAGCACACCTTCTGATTGGCTGCAGGATCAAAAGCCGCGGATGCCTCTGAGTGCCGCCCCTTCCTTCCCGCTGAGATGGCCGAGCAGGAATGAAGCGGGAGCAGCGCGGAGGCTGTCTCCACCTCCCAGGCCAGCGGCATGGGCTCTGTGCCCTGCCGAGAGAGAGGACGCCGACGCTGCCGAAGACGAGGCAGTGTCAGCTGCTGCGGCATGAGTGGCATAGGCGGGGGGGGGGCCCTTCGGGAGGGGGTGCTTTCGGGAGGTGGTGAGCCCAGCCCCCCACAAGGTCTGAGGGACAGTGGACCGGCCCCCTCCTGAAAAAGTTTGCTGACCCCTGATTTACACTCCCTTTTTATTATACAGTTTCATTGCTTTTATTCAAAATACTTTCAAATATGAACCAATGGAGAAATGCTTTCAGACCAAGCATCGAGCCGTCCTCTGGACTCCCTGCTTGCTCCCGATTCCTCACCTGCCTGGTCCCCAAGCGCCTCGCAGCCTTCCTGGCTCCCGGCTGCTGCTCTCGGCTCCTTCTCTTCCGTCCCGCCAGGCAGGCTGGAGTCAAGGCCTTGCAGGCTGTCCGCTGCCTCCTGGCTGCAGCTCCATCTCCTCTGCTGGGCGCTGAGAGGATGCCCATAAACCAAGTACCAGAGGAAGAGGTGGGCCACCTTTAAGCGAGGCATTTTGGGGAGGAAGCCCAGGGAGCGCCCAAGGCCTGGCACTGAAGAGAAGAAGAGGGTTTGCGTTGGAGAGACACAGGCAGGAGCTACTGCCCACCACTCCCTACACAGACCCCCCCCCCATTCAGGAAGCTGGAAACAGCAGAAGCAGGAAAGGCCTTTACCTGTGACTGGGTGGTAGCTTAACTTGGCAGCGCGCGCCTTTCTGCCAGCCGCCTCTGGTTTGCAAAGAGAGAAGCAGCCCTCCATCTCCCTCAGGGCAGCCCCAAGTCCAGACTCCTGGCTTCCTTCATCCAGACTCTCCTGAGACATTGGCGTCTGTGGGACTTTAATCCTGCAGTTATGAAAGGAAAGTGAAGCTAGGCACCAGGGTTAGGAAAGTGCAAACCAGGCTCCAATGCTCAGTCCCCCAAAACACCACAATATTCCCTGAACAACTAGCTAGGAACATGGCTCTTCTGCAGCCACCTGCCTCCTGCCGTTTCCTCGAGCCACAAGCGGGACAACTGGTGTCTGTAGAGCACTGGAAAGCGTTTCAGAAACCCCATGAGTGTGGGGCTCCCCCCACCAGGAAGTAGGCAGGAGGAAAGCACCTCCTCTAGGTAAGTGTCATGGGAATGGGTGCCAGAGGGGAGAGAAACCAAGCCTTTCGTGTCATTGGCCCAGTCCTGTGGAACACCCTGCCACTAGATTCAGTGAGCACCTTCTCTTCCACTTTTCTGTTCCGCCAGGCCTAGGCAGGCCATTAAGAGCGCACACACACCAATGGTCTACTGATGTTTGTTTTTAATTCTTTTGATTTCAACTTTTTATGATTTTATATTGTTGTGAACCACTGCGATGTACTTCTATGACACAGCAGTACATACGTTACATATAAAATAAATAAGAGATCTCGGTCCACCAGCCCAAATCACCAGGGGGTGGAGGAGGGAGGGAGGGAGCTGCCCAGTTCTGAACGCCCTCCTGTTGCTTGAAAGTCAAGCCAGTCAGAGCCTGCCCAGCTCCTGCTGGCAGCCCCTGCCACCCTCTTTCCCTCCCGCCACCTACCTGTTCACGGTGCTTGAGTTGGAGATTCGGAAGCGAACTTGCTCAATCGCGCTCTTCACCAGTGGGTCGCTGGGATTCACCGAGGGATCGACTACAAACTCCACCTGCCAAGCAGAGGCAGAGAGACACAGAAGCAGGCTTGGTGAGGAGAGGCCAAGCAAAGGAGGCACGGTGCTGAGGCCAGCCCTTTCCCCTTCCTGTCTGTGAAGCTCCTTGGGAGACACCTTGCTTCTGCCCAAGGCCCCAGGCAGCCTTCTGAGCTCCAGCCCAAGGCCACTTGGGAGGAACGGCCACTCTGGGTGGGAGGCGCTGGCGGGTGGCAATGCCAGGACTGAGAGCAGAGAGGGAGAAGCCGTGGGCCGAGTCTTCAGAGAGGAGGCTGTCAGGAGTTCAGCCTACACTCGAGCAGGACCCTGGCAGAGACACATGCCCGACTGGCATGTTCCCTCCCTCCTGGTCGGTTGTTTGGGAGCTTCAAAAGCTTTCTTCAGCCCGAACATCACAGCGACCGATGCCTACAGACACTTAAGGATCCGCAGAGTTTGTGCATCATGTGCGTGACAGACTTCAGTAACTCAGCGTTTTGGCTAATCTACTTTATTTACATATAAACACACACGGAGCACTGTACAGTTTTTGGACTTAATAAATCTTGTAAAGCTGGCTGGAGTCCCGGGTTGTTATCTCGGCTAGCACCCACATATCATCCTGACACTTTAGCTGCGATTCCTGCATTGCAGGGGGTTGAACTAGATGGCCCTCGGGGTCCCTTGTGACTCCACAATTTCATGATTCTATGAGCGGCAGTGGCTCCCGGCAGGGGACTCAGGCTGTTGTCTCTTTCTTATCGCTGGGTGCCTTGAGACCCTTTAGGACACAGCAGTTCTCAACCTGTGGGGCCCCAGATGTTGTTGGACTACAACTCCCATCATCCCTGAGCTCTGGCCTTGCTAGCTAGGGGTGCTGGGAGTTGTAGTTCAACAACATCTGGGGACCCACAGGTTAAGAACCACTGCTTTAGGAGGACTGAACTTCAACCCATCTCCGTCACCCTTCCCCAAATTCACTAGCTGGAAAAGATTTGCACCTCCACTATCACCCGGATGGGCAACGCTAACATGCCAGGGGGAGCCTGGGCAGGCGGAGTACCTTTCTGCTGATGCCATCCTGGATGACCGTGGTGCGGAAGAGGCGCAGAAGGCCTTCCTGGGAGAGCTTCTGCACTAGGCGGACAATGGACTTCTTGCAGCACCTGGTGGAAACCCCTTCCTGCTTCTCCTGGTCCATTATCATCTTCTGAAGGCTGCAACAAGGGCATACACACACTTATTTATTATTACATCCAATCCCACATTTTCCTCCAAGGAGCCCAATTCACTCCCTGTGGAATGTGCGCTGGTGGAGCAGGCAGCAGGCTGCCCGGCAGGCAAGGGGGAAAAGCTGGCGCTTGCTTCCGAACCCCCGACTTACGCAAACAAGCTTTCGATCAAGCGGAGGTTGCGCACGGCCTCTATGATGAGGTTGCGGCGCTTCAGCAGGCGGTAGGTCTCGTGGGACCGCTCCACGCCCGAGGCTCGCCAGCCCTTCTCTTTCTTCTTGACATCACAACTTTTCTGGCACAGGGGCAGAAAACCACAGTTTATAGAGGCCAGGTGAAATCCTGCCGCCCAGACGCTCATTACGCCACACCCGGGACAAGGAAACCAAAAGAGGAGCCTCCGGCAGTGAGAGAGAAAGGGGGATTGGACAAACTGGCCGCCACCCCACCCTCCTCTGCACACCCACTTCCTTTCCACACACAGCAACCTATACCAAGGTTATCGCCCAGCCACCTGCACAAAGCTGCAATCACGGAAGTAAACCACGCCTAAGTTGTGGGTCCCCTGTAGCTGAAACTGGGTGGAACTTGTAGAGGCTGAAGCAAGAGCCGCCAAGTTTGATGGTTACAGCTGGGGCTCAGCAGCTGCTTGGCCGATTGGCAGCCCCGGCAGCCCTAAAAGCAGACTTGCTAGTGGGCTAAGGTTGTGGCATCAACCCCAAAGGGAATCCACCCTTTGGGACTGTGGCTTTGGGGCTGGACTGAAGTTTGCGAGTTTGGGAAGAAGTGCACAGGTTCTTGACCAAGCATGGGACTTTCAGTGCACCCAGACTGAGAGAGTGTTGGGGACCTAGGAGTTAGTGCCCCCTGGGTATGAGACAGGTTTCAACACCCAGGTGAGACGTGGTGTGCAAGGCCTGCGATGCACTCCTGGCTCTTTGTGGCTGGAACCTTTGGCGTGTGAAACAAGTGCCCTGCTGCTGAAGTAGAGGCTCAGGACAGATGGATACACTTCCTGGACCAGCCCAGAAGCACTGCCACCTTCTTTTTTTGTCTTTTATTTATTTTGACAAAGTAATAATCATAAAGAAATAAGAATAAAAATGTGCACCCCACCACTGAGACCATTCCATTGTAACTTTCCAACCTCCCAAAATTTCAACACCTCTTGCAGTGTTTTGACCCCTTTCCATTTCAACAGTACAAGTTCTACACACACCCTCCATAACTCCTCAAATTAATATTTGAGGATACATTCCCCATCTTACCTTAATGGCACGTGTTAATTTATCTTTAATAGCTACATCCCACACCTCTTTATACCATTCTTCCATTTTAGAATTTGCTTGCCCCTTCCACTTCCTAGCTATCATAATTCGTGAAGCTGTCAATAAATTTGTGAGCAAGTCCTTCATAGCCTGCGAACCATCCACCCCTGTTGTCTCCTTTCCCCACACCTCTTTTAATTATCTTCTTGATCCTCCATTTCTACTTTTATAAATTTCACTGGCTTCCCCTTTTATAAATGTATTGCTGTGCCACCTTCTGATGCCCACTGTGTTGTGGAAATGCCAGCTCAAAAGCCCCCAGGAACATCCCCTCTCACTCCCTGAGGCTGAACTGCCTGACGTTGGCTCCTCCATTAGCCAACCCACAGCAAAAGTGGCCCTCCAAGCTGTCCATAGAAGGCCTGGCAAGGCAGGTGACCCCCCCCCTCCAGTGACTCTGGCCCCCCGTCCCAGCTCACACCTTGCGAAAGACTCTCCACCCCAAGTTTGCCAAAACATGCACACTAACAGCAAATGTTCATGCTTTAAGGCCTCTTACTTTGGGAGTCTCCAGCTTGACTTCCTCAACCACAGCCATATCACCAGCATGATCTATAAAATGGGTACAATTTGAGAGGCCACTTTCCTGCTTTAGTGTGTCCAAAGCAGAATCATCATTTGCCGTGTGTTCGGGAAGCTCTTCTGGGTATTCAGAAGGGCGCAAGGGAGACAGCTTCCTCCCCAGGGTCCTTGGAGCTAGCAATTTCTTGGCTAGTTTTAAGAAAAGACAGAGAGGGAGAGGAAACGTATAGCTGGTCAGCAACACAACCAAGCAACTGTTGCAAGCTTTGCTGTATCACAGGCAGTGGGTCAGATGCTTAGAGAAATCATGGATTTCTGGCGATCTTGAGCAATCCTAACCCCCCTAATTAAGCACAACCGGTTGTGAGGGGAGCCCACCCACCTGCCCCCAGCACTCAGACCTTATTAAAAACTCTGTTCCAGAGTCATGCAATTTCTGCAACATCACAAACCACTTTGCTGTCCTTAAGGCTGCAAGCAGACAAACAGACACACACACACACACACACACACACACAGCCTAACATGGTCTCTGAGGAAGGAAGTGGTCCTCTTGGCCAAAGCTCACCCCTTGTACCTTTCACTGGCGTCGACTGGCGCGGGCTGCCTCCTCCTCGGAAACCGAGCCTGAGCAGTGGCGCTGAGCTGGCGCTCCTCGGCTTCACGCCTTCTCTCGCCTCCTCCTCATTCTCCGATTCAGAGAGCAGAGGCATCTCCTCCTCCTCCTCGGCTGCAGAGAGCTGCTCCTCCCCAGGCAAGGAGGCGTCGGGGGCCACCGACACGCTGGCCATGGCCAGCTGCTCACTCCGGGCCTTCTCCCGCTCAAACTGCCGGCTGAGGTCGCTCTCTTCCGCAAACGTGCAGGTGATGTATTTGGTCGTCCGCTGCCTGCCTTCGTCTTCCATGAATCCCTGAGTAAGGATCAAGACCGTTCTCAGCCTTTACCTGCCATTTCCTGCACGTTGAAGAAGGGGGCCGTGCGCAAGGCCAGCAGCGGAGGCCGTGACAAACGTTACCTTGATCACTTTGTATCTCTCCAAGAGGCGGCAGAGCATCCTGGCTTCCAGCTTCCCCACATGCATGGCGGCTCGGAGTTCAGCTTGAGAAATGCCTTTGGTCCCCCAGCTTTCAACTGCAGAGGGGGAGGAGGGGAAAGCATAACACTAGGTCCCCCCAAAGATGCTGAATGGTAGGACAGTTCAGATGGGCAGAAGGATAAGGCGGATCCTAAACATATACACCTCAAGTGTCAAAGGCCAGGGTAAAGAGTGTGCCTTCAGCATTCGCTGAAAGCTGTCTAATGAAGGTGGCAGGCACACTTCTATGGGAAGTTCCACAGATCAGGGGCCACCACAGGTAAGGCTCTCTCACGGGCCACCGCCCCCAAACTTCTGAGGGTGAAGGAACTGCCAAGATGCCCCCTCTACTAACCCCAGCCCCTGAGATGTTTGGGGCCTGAGCCATTTACCTACTTAGCTCATACGCTTGAGTCAGCATATCCTTCTCGTAGACAATGTCCACAGGCTGCACGGCTTTGGTGATCATTTCTTCGTCATCGTCATCATGGTAATCATCCACCTTCTTCCGAAACTCCTTCACTAGCTTCAGGCAGCGAACCATTACGTCAGTTCCTGGGAGCGAATGAACAAGCATACCCCCCCAGTTTGTCAAAACACAAAAGGAGACTTTGCAAGGCAGAAAACTGGCAGCTCCAGGCAAAGCACAAACAAACCAAACACAACTAGCATGAAATGCAGATGCAGCTGTCAGGATACACAACTGTTTTCAAGTATTTTATTTTATTTTTAATTGTATGCTTTTGCTAATCTGTAACTTACTTTCTTTTACTGATTATCTTTCTTTCCCCCCAAATTTTTCTCCTTTGGGAAGAAAGATGAGATAGAAATTAAGCAAATAAATAAAATTAACAAATAAACAGTAAATAAAAGAATCTCAAGAAATTGTGCATCTGGGGGTGATGTGCCTTAAAAAGGCCTCATTCCACCCCCAGTTTTAACATGGAGTGTTCAGCCCCCTGCATACAGAGCAGGGACAGGAAACATCTGTTCTTGGACTACAACTCCCATATCCATTGGCCCTGCTGGCTGGGGCTGATGGGAGATGGAGTCCAGCAATATCTGGAGGGTTGAAAGTTCCCCATCCCTGATCTAGAGAGAAGTACTGTGGGGGCAAGAGCTTCCGCAGGGCCCTCCCCCTTCACTTGGAAGCAGGAGAACAACAGCAGCAGCAATAATAAAAATAAATTTGTTAATTGCTTTATCTTGTCCAAGCTCCCCAAAGTGACTTACAAGGCTACTCTTCTGCGCAATGGTGGCAGTGCCAAGGCAGCCTGACCCCCCTTCCAGAAGCTGTGAGGTGCCCTCTTACCCTTCTTGGTCTTGAAGGGACCTCCATCAGGGTGAACGTCTTGCAACGGCACGGTCACAATCTTTCCAAAGCCGGCATTCAGCATATACTGATAGAGACGCTTAAATGTTTTCTCACAGAGACCCTGTCGTTGTGCAATGAGAGAGAATCAGTTTTAGGGCTGGCCGCAACTAACTTCAGGACAGAATGGCAGGCAAGCTTGTTTCCCCTGTAAGCCTCATGCCAAGCCCCTAACCCTCCTCGGAGGCTCAAGAAGTGAGAGAAAACAAGGGCTGCTCCAAAGGCCCACAGAGAGAATAGACACATTTCTGCTTGGCTCTTGTTGGAGGCGAAACACAGCAGGGCAGACAGGGCCTTCATGGGTCGGCACCCCCAAATGCCCCTGTGGCTCTGGGGAAGAAACACCACCTGAGAAGCTCCTCTCCGTCAGAAAGACTCCGGCAAAACAAGCACCACCCACTCAGATGCAGTCAGACAGGTTTCAAGCGCATGGAAGAACAGCCAGGTGCTCACCAATTCCTCCCTTATGCTCGCCAGGGTCTCCATATGACCAGGTCGCTTGCTCAGCATAGTGGACAGCTTCTCCATGAGGATATCGTATTTGCTCCTCCTAAAACCCCAAGAGAGGCACCGTAAGCAGGCAGCACCAATGCCTCCTCACACCTGTAGCCAGAGGACGCCCGCCCCTTGGGTGGGGCGCCAGCTGTGAGTGGCACAGGGAAAGCTCTGGCCACCCCTAGGAAGAAGCAGACCAGGGTGGATAAAAATCAATGGTTTAAAAAAAAATATTGGATTTTTGGATGGGTAAGTGGTGCTCCGGTGGGACCTGAGCAAGACTAGGGGGCGGGCAGGAGGAAGTGAGGTTGGGGGCTGAAATCTTGCTTGACATATGGAAGAGCATAGAGCAGGGTGGAGGTTTTTCTGATTTAAATCGTATTTTTAAAATAAAATGCTTTTGGAGGAAAAATCTTTCTAAAGATAGTTTTCTATTTAAGTTACATTATAGTCCAAAGGCTATTCATCAGGAAATGATTTATTTTCAGTTTTTCATGTGTGCTAAAACTCAGTCTGTCTTTTTAAAAAACAAACAAACAATCAAACAAACCCATTTAACCACATCAGTTAACAAACATGGATACATATGTTATAATGTTATAATTTAGTTAAATTGTTTAAATTGTTATTAAGGAAATGATTATTTTTCTCCTTCCAATAAAGTACAGCAGAAAAGTTGTCCAAATATAAACAGTTAACTTATAAAACCTCACAATTTCATATTTATCTGTCTATGTATTTCTAATAGTATAACCAAATCAGTAATTTTTTATATAACTGTAAAAACTACTCTGAAAATTTATTATTCCAAAAATGAAACCTTTATCTGGTTGTAAATATTAAGATTATACCAGCAAGAATGAGTCTTTCTGTAAAAAAGAAGAAGATTTAAATCAAGTCTTACTGACTAGTGATTTAAATCGATTTGATTTAAACCAAATCCATCCTGAAGAAGACGAGAGTCACCATTGCTGCTGCCCTCACAAGATGAAAGAGGCTTCATCCTGTGGGCTCAGCTAAATTGGATACCAAGGCCAGACTCCCCCATCCTCTGGCCTACAACAAAACTGCCCCAGTCAGAGAGGAGACAAGCTCCAGTACTCACTGGAAGATGTTTATTTTGCTTTATGCATTTCAGAGACGAATCTCTTTGACAGGAACTGTGAACACTTGCAATTTTGGGGGAAATGCAAAACGGCTTCAGAGAAAGTATCACGTTTCTCTTTCTGTGCCTCCGCAATGAATAATATTCTCCAGGTGATACCAAAAACAAGCAAAGTGGCCTATGTCTGGGGTGCCTGAGGGTGTCTTGGTGCCACACTGGGGACTGTCAGATATAGGTTATCACATGCTGTTATTTAAATCTAGATGGGATATTCTGCTGGTATCCTGGCTTGAATGTTATTGGGGTGGATTTTAATTGGTTAACCGGTTTTGCTGTTGGATTTTATGGGTTTATATTTGCACATGGCTATAAATGGCTTTAAGAGGCCACTCTGTCCCAAAAATAGTCTAAAAACTTTTAAAATAAAGAATAATTTGATCAGGAGAGCAGCAATGAAGGATGTTCAGTCATTTCCTCCCACGCTATTTCCCCCACCTAAGTCACTCCCCCAAGTTGTGATTAGCCAGGGTGGTGGTGGGGACTCAGGTACTGATTTGTCTTTCCTGTGAAGGTGGAGGGGTGCATATAGATCAGGGGAAGAGTGCAGGAAGAAGCAATTAAAATACCGCCCCCCCCCCAGCACTGCTTCCTTGACCTCCCTGCAACACACACCTGTCAACATGAAAGTGGGTCAGGAGCAGGAGAATGGAGTGCTGCTGGGCCCCCGTTGGCAGCCTGATCACGTGGGACTGCATGGTGATGAGCCCATTTCTGTCCAGGACTCGTCGGTGGTAATGAAGCTTCCCAGAATCCACCCTAGGATGAGGACAGATTTTATGAAAATTAAGGACGCCACAGAAGTTGAAAGGAGACAAACTCTAACCCTGTAGACCAGGCATAGGCAAACTCTGGCCCTCCAGATGTTTAGGACTACAATTCCCATCATCCCTGACCACTGGTTAGCTAGGGATGATGGGAATTGTAGTCCCAAACATCTGGAGGGCCGGAGTCTGCTGTAGAGTGTAGACCAACAATAACAGGGTCAGAACCTGCATCTTCCAGGGAACCATGCAAGTGCCTTACACTATGTTAATAGGGATAAAATGGGCTAAAGAATGCTTCCCCCAAGCAATTAGCTAGTATTTGCCAGGCCTGTGATGTTTTGAAAGGGTGGGCTCTGGATACAGCTCAGGGTTGTGGCGTGTCCACAGTGATGTGGGGGTGAGGCTTGTCTATCATCATAGCAGCTCCACAAGAGACAGGCTCTAGCCTAACTTAGACATTCCAGAATACCGCTGCAAAACAAACCAAGGCAATCCTATCCTCTTACGCCAGCCCATGGGACAAGGTACCGTATTTTTCGCACGATTGGACGCACCGGACCATAGGACGCACCTAGTTTTTTTGGGGGGAAATAAAGGAAAAAAAAATTCCCTTTATTTCCCCCCCAAAAGCAGGTCAGGGAAACCGAACCAGGTCGAGGAACAGCGGGATAGTGGCGCTGCGCCTCCCTGATGTCCCCCGAGCTTGTGGGGCTGGCTGATGTCTGCCTGGCGCGTGGCGCGCTCTGCTTCAGGGCGCCCCACCCGCCAGGCAGCAGGCTGCTATCCGCAGCGTGGGGAGCCCTGTGGGGAACTCCTGCAAGGCTCCCCACTCTGCGGATGTCTGCCTGGCGCGAGGGGCGCTCTGCTTCAGGGCGCCCCACCCGCCAGGCAGCAGGCTGCTATCCGCAGCGTGGGGAGCCCTGTGGGGAACTCCTGCAAGCCTCCCCACGCTGTGGATGTGTTCCCGAAGCGCCTGGAGCTCTGCTTTCAGGGCGCCCGACGCTCCGGGAAGCAGGCTGCTATGGCTAGCAGAGCGCTAATCCCGAAGCTTGGGGCGTGCGGAGCTCAGCGCGCCCCAAGCTTCTGGGCGCCGGCAAGGTCTCCGCTAGCCTAGCGGAGACCTTGCCGGCGCCCAGAAGCTTGGGGCGCGCTGAGCTCGCACGCCCCAAGCTTCGGGATTAGCGCAGCGGTCCGCTAGCCGTGGGAGAGCCGTGCGACGTCGCGGGGCTCTCCCAGGGCTAGCGGAGACCTTGCCGGCACCCAGAAGCTTGGGGCGCGCTGAGCTCTGCATGCCCCAAGCTTCGGGATTAGCGCAGCGCTTCGCTAGCCCTGGGAGAGCCGTGCGACGTCGCGGGGCTCTCCCAGGGCTAGCGAGACCTTGCCGGCACCCAGAAGCTTGGGGCGCGCTGTGCTCCGCATGCCCCAAGCTTCGGGATTAGCGCAGTGGTCCGCTAGCGGTGGGAGAGCGCACCGACCCCTCTCACTCTCCAGGCTTCAGCGAAAGCCTGCATTCGCTCCATAGGACGCACACACATTTTCCCTTGCTTTTTAGGAGGGAAAAAGTGCGTCCTATGGTGCGAAAAATACGGTATCTTCTCCAAATCAGAGGCGGATGTCGGCCCACATGCTATCACTTCTGCCAGTGCAGCACCACAGCTGGAGCCAGAACGCAGCCACAACCCGCGCACTTACTTAAAAGCTGCGCTGAGGTCTCTTTGCAGCTCTCCCTGCCATCGGGCACGCCCCAAGCGCTCCAAAATGCAGTAGGAGAAGTCAGGAAGTTTTAAGTCTGGATCCCCTTCCCATCCTATGAGCGTTCTGTGGCGCAGCATCTGAGAGGCAACGATCACCAGCTTCTCGCCCCACCTGCAAAGCAGTAAGACATGGCAAGGAAGGTAATTTCCCCCATTCCCCAATGAATCACCCACTTTCAGTGCCACAGCAGCATTGCCACCTGCTATGCAGGATTTCCTCTCTTGGGATCATTTTGTGTCTAGTAGAGGCTGCTCAGACTGCATACGTAGGGCTGGAATACGCAAAGCAACATGGGCACATTTCAACTCATGACCCCACCCAAACAATAGGCTTTCTTGTCCAGATCCTCCCTATTTCCGAAAAGACACTGCAAAGCTGACCAAAGCTCCCATGAATCTGGAGTGCTGGTGGGCTCAAGAGCCACTTTAAGCAAGCACCACGCAGCAAACCCAATCACCTCTCAGTAGCAAGAGGCTGAAGGAACTCCCACTTACACCTTCACTAATTACTTCCAAGCAAGCAGAGGAAAAGCTGACAATTACTAGATTCCCACATTTCCTTCCTCCCAAGATGCGTATCACAGTTAGTAACAGAACCACAGAAGTGACGGGCGGGCAAAGGTATTTCTTCTCTTGCAGCCTTTTTTTAACAGGATAAACTTGGAAGGAGCAGGCTTGTTGGTTATTAGCCCAAAGCACAGGCGGCTAACCTGTGCCCCTGCTGCGATGTTGCTGGACTGGAATGACGATTCCTGACCATGATGACTGGGGCTGACAGACGTTGGAGACCAACAGCACCTGGAAGGCCACAGGTTAACCACCTCATTTGGTGGCCCTTGTTTTAGCACATTCCCACAAAGGCACCCTTCGTCCCATCTCCACTTAGCTAGCCTGTGTAAATTTAGGTGCAGACATGTGGCACTCCACCCTTCTTTTGTCCTCCAGGAATAAGCTTTCACACTGATGTGTCAATTGAGAATGACACCTGCCCACCCACATCCACCAAGTCTTAATGACAGTGACATTGTCACACTCCTTCATCTTGTTCCAGGTATGCTTTTCACCGGCATTCAAACTTTTACTGAAAAATACACTTTTCTTTCTACCTTATGACAAAGCTATACAATTCTCCTTTTGACTCCGTGGACAGTTCTGCAACGGAATAAATTCAACAGTCCTGCTCCACTTGCCCACTCTGCAGACATCTTCCCCACCAATAGAGAGCCTGGCGCAAAAGCAACTAGCAAACGCTTACTCACTTCTCATAAGCTTCTGTATATGTGCAAAGGGGCCGCAGGTCTTTTGTTCTGACCAGGTCAGTAATATCCAGCCTCTCTTTAAAATACTGGCACGAACCCTGAATGCCTTCAGGGTGATCCAAAATCATGTGCACAGGATAAATGTCATCTAAAGGAACAGGATCTCTCTTGGTCTCCAGTATTCCTGTTTCAAGATCAATTTCTTCATACCTAAAATGAGAAGAAGAGAATTAGTTCTTCTCAACCCCAGCCTGCCTGCCCAAGATTTGCAGCGGGTTAGTTTTTTGCTTTTTTAAAAAGCAGCTCCCCTCATTTCCTCTAAACAAACCTTTCCTCATAGGAGAGCCACTCCATCATGTCCTTGTCTCATTTTCATTACCCTTTTCTGAAGTTCCTATAATATCCTTTTCGAGGAGAGGCAACCAGAACTGTACACAGCACATCCCAAGCATGATGGCAGGGCTGGATTTAGGTTTGATGCGGCCCGAAGCTCCTGAAGGTAATGGGGCCCTTGATTATGTCCAGCTGTACTTTGTCAACAACAAACGGTCGCTGTTTTTTGTGTTGAAGATATGCTATATAGTAATTGATGGACCTAATATCTAAAGCCATTTGCACACGCAGAATGTAGGCACCCTATATATAGAAATTAGCAAACCAGTGATCTTTTAGGGAGCAGGCTAGCAGGTGGGGCCCATGACTTACATCATAGGAACCTACACAACACAAAACACTGCTGCCGTATGTAGGTTTTATTTTATTGTTTTTTAATTTATATTTTGGAAATGTACATCCAGTTTTTTTCTTTACATTTTTTTTGGGGGGGGGCCCAAGAGTGGGGCCCTAAGATATAGCTTGTTTAGCTTATATGTAAATCCGGCACTGCATGATGGCAACACAGATCTGTAGAGTGGAACTCTGTGCTTCTTTCCTGGGGGTACTCAAAGGTATACAGTACTAACACCTTTTTTTTCTTAGAGAACTGGAGCATTGGGGGCACTAGGATACCGCCAATCTTATATCAAACTCCTTTTTCCACAGCTTGGAGGAACCAGGCAAGGGGCCTCGCCAGCGTCTGCCTCCCCAGGACTAGAAACGTGAATGACACCCGAGCCCTTGGGAAGAGCTTCCTGACGGGGGTGGGGGGAGATATCCGCTCGGCTCTCCTTCCCGAGAGGCTTCTTAAAGAGAGGCTCGGGGTCGCCCCCCCCCGTCCGAGGCGCCGCTGCTCCTGCAAGGGGGCTGGACTAGATGACCCCTGGGGGCCCCTCCCGGCTCACCGGTCGTAGAGGTGCAGCGGCGGCCTGGGCTGAGGGAGCAGGTAGAAGCGGAGCTGCGCGTGCGCGGCGAGGGAGGCCCAGAGGAGCTGCCGGACGTCGGGCTCGAGGGGCAGCGGGAAGGGCGGCACGCGGCCGGCCAGGCGCTCCCAGAGGGCCCCGGGGGTCACGCCGTCCAGGCCCTCCAGCGCCACCTCGCCCAGCGCGGCCCACAGCGCCTCCATGGCGCCTCGGCCGCCCTCCTTCCGGCGCGCAGGAAATGACGCGCCCCGCCTCTCCGAGCGCCGCTTCCCGCGGGGTCTCCATGGCAACGGCCCAACAGCGGCGCCTGGCAGCAGGGCGAGGAAGAGGAAGAAGAGGAGGAGGAGGAAGATGGAGTGAGCCCCGCCGCGCCTGCCAGGGCCGCGGCGCCCCCGGGAGGGTCCGGCGAGTGCGGGGCGACGGGGTAGGGGGCGAGCGGGGCGACGGGGAAAGGGCGCTGGGGGCGGGGGGAGGAGCCGGGGGGGGCGGGCGGCTCCACAGGCCTCCGGGCGCCCCGGGCTGGCAGCCCCACCGCTGACACCACTGGCCGTGCTGGCTGCAGGGACTGGTCGTAATTAATAATCATAATCATCATCATAATAGCAATCATGATAATAATTTATTTATACTCTGGGCGGCCCCAACAGAATATTAAAAACACGATTAAAAAATATTAAAAACACGATAAAAAAAGATTTGTAAGATGAAATTACTACCTATTCAGGATGAGTATGTAATAACTTTAGGTAATGATATAACATGAATAGGAAAGAGAGTGAAATGCAGTGATGCAAAATTTAAGTTTGTAAACCATTAGGCAGGGGGGAGGGAAGTCCTTCATAATAAGATTTAATAAGAGGATATTATGTTACGCAATGTGATTATATGTAAAACTAATTAAAATTATTATTTAAAAACCCCACTATAAAACATCAGACATTAAAAACTTCCCTAAACAGGGCTGCCTTCAGATGTCTTCTAAAAGTCTGATAGTTGTTTATTTCCTTGACATCTGTGGGATGTCATTCCACTCGCTTTTCACAGTAATGGAACCACCAGAAGGCCCTTGGATTGGGACCTCAGGGTCCAGACTGAACAATGGGGGGTGGAGATGCTCTTTTAGTTATATGATTATCATTATTATTTTGACTTATTAGTTCAACCTCACCCGCAATGGTGCACTCCCCTTTTGTCTCCTGAGACAGACAGATGCCAAACCAAAGTATTGTCTATATATATATATATATATATATACACACACACACACACACACACACACACTGCTTTTTCTCTCAAGGCGGTTTACACATAAATTAACAGCTACAAACGTAGAAGAAGCCCTTCCTCGATGGGCTAGGATGACCTTTGCGGTTCCTTCCAACTCTACAGTTCTATGATTCTTTGAAGAAAAACTCCCTCTCAAAAGCCATCAAGCATTAATAGAATTAAAACCATGCAAATAATTACCATGACAACAGCATGGCACCAGCCCTTTCCTTGAAAACAGTCTGGTCCCAAAAGCCTGTTTGAAAAAGAAGGCCTTTGCCTGTCTGCGGAAGGACAGCAAGGAGGGAGCAGCCTGGCTCCTCTAGGCAGGGAGTTCCAAAGGCTGATGGGAGTTGGAGTCCAACAGCATCTGGAGGGCAGCACCAGGATGGGGAATGATGGCCTGGCCCACCAGGAGGCAGCGCCACAGCTGCCTCCACTCAGCTTGCGCAAGGGTTCTGTTAGGAGAGGTGCCACTTTGGGCATGATAAATTCACCGGTAGGCTGAAGGAGCACCACCATGGGCACCCCCAAAGCCAGGCATCCCCCCTGCAGCAGACTCCCTGCTTCCCCGCCCCCAACAAGAACACAACCAGCATGTGGGCACCAACTACTTAGGCAGCTGAGGCAGAATGTCAGGCATTGGATTTGCAGGGCGACATGTGCCAGCCAGTGAAGCTGAATGTTGGGTGATTCTTCAGGACAGTTGGAAGGAATTGCTTTATCCGGAGCCAAATTAAACTGGAATTTACTCCAAAGGGGATAGAGTGGCGGCCTCCAATGTGGACAGCTTTATAAACACCGCCCAGGGCACCTGCATAATGTTGCTTTGTTTCTGTGTTTCAGGCTTAACCAAAGGACATGGTGACTGACTTTGATGAGAAACATGATCAACATATAGTATTTCTTCAGCATAGAAACAGGTAGGCTGAAGGATGACCAGCAGGCCAGGAGAACAGATTTTGGGGGCCCTGGCTAGGTCTGCAGCCTGCTGCCTCTTCAGATATGGCAGGAGGCTGGGCAAGGGCCAATGAATCCTGGCAAGTCAGAGGCTTTGTGGGTGATGGGCCAGTTGCCTGCTCTGAATGGGCTTGCACTTGAGCCATCTTTGCTGCTAGAGGCTTGGGGCCTCTCTGGCTTTTAGCAGCTTTGATGTGACAGCCGTGGTGATTCCTGGACGACGACATCCTAGTCATGCTGTTCTAGGTATTGACTCCAAGAGAATTTGCACTAATGGCCAATATGCTACCAGCCCAAATTTAAGGTGTTACTGCGAGGGTATGAAGCCCTAAACAACACGGGAGCAGCCTGTCTGAAGACCTTTCTTCATATATTCACACCTATTCTTTGAGATCTGCTGCAGAAGCATTGCTTGACTGCCTCTTGTGAATGGGACATTCATTCATTCATTCAATTCGTATATAACCCTTTATCCAAAGATCCCAGTGCAGTGTGCAATATTAAAAGCATACGTAACATGGCATAATGAAAAACAAGAAAACAAAAACCATAGTAATAGTCTCCACACTTTTAAAAGGCTGTAGATTGTTTAATGGCCAAAGGCCTGGGTAAAAAGCAGCACCTTAGGCAGGCAACCTCTGAGCCAGATTCTTTCCTGGCAGGATTTATTTATTCAAACATTCTTGATGTCAGCTTAAGACAAGTAGTATAGAAATGTATGAATGAATAAATAAATCCTGTCAGGAAAGAATCTGGTTCAGACCATGAAGGTCTTCCTGCTTAGATCTTCCTGCAAGAATCCTCTATACAAACAGACTGCAGACAAGGACGTGAACTTGGAGGTGGCTCTTGGATAGCATTTTTTAAGGCAGAAAACCAGCTTATTGATTTAAAATATCAATAAACAACAGGCTTGTAGAAAAGCAAGCAGTAGTTTAGTAAACTCAATAGTCCATCTTGGGGATTCCCAGGAGCTCCTTCTTCCAGGGCAAGATGATTTTATATTGTCCTATAATAATAATAATAATAAATTTTATTTATATCCCGCCCTCCCCAGCCGAAGCCGGGCTCAGGGCGGCTAACAACAATAAAATAGTGCAACATTCTAAAAACATTTCATTATAAAAATTAATTAAAATCAAATTGATGGCAACCATTAAGCTAAAGTTCTGTGAAGATTGCCAAAGGAGGGAGTCAGGCTGCGCCCTGACCAAAGGCCTGCTGGAACAGCTCTGTCTTGCAGGCCCTGCAGAAAGTTGTCAAGTCCCGCAGGGCCCTAGTCTCTTGCGACAGAGCGTTCCACCAGATTGGAGCCACAGCCGAAAAAGTCCTGGCTCTAGTTGAGGCCAGCCTAACCTCTCTGTGGCCTGGGACCTTCAGGATGTTTTTATTTGAAATCATAAGGTCCTCTGTGGGACATACCAGGAGAGGCGGTCCCGTAGGTACGAGGGTCCTAGGCCGTATAGGGCTTTAAAGGTTAAAACCAGCACCTTAAACCTGATCCTGTACTCCACCAGGAGCCAGTGCAGCTGGTATAGCACCAGGTGAATGTGATCTCGCAGCGAAGACCCCGTAAGGAGTCTCGCTGCAGCATTCTGCACCCGCTGGAGTTTCTGGGTCAGTCTCAAGGGCAGCCCCATGTAGAGCGAGTTACTATAATCCAGTCTGAAGGTGACCGTCGCATGGATCACAGTGGCTAGGTCAGGGCGAGAGAGGTAAGGAGCCAACTGCTTAGCTTGGCGGAGATGAAAAAATGACGCCTTTGTTATAGCTGTAATCTGCGCCTCCATGGAGAGGGAGGTATCGAAGATTACACCCAAACTCTTAACGGACGGTGCTGGCACTAATTGCACCCCCGCAAGAGATGGGAGTTGCCCCCTCAATCCCATATCGTCCCGTCCCAGCCAGAGGACCTCTGTCTTCGAAGGATTTAACTTCAACCGGCTCCCACGTAACCATCCAGCCACAGCTTCCAAAAATCTAGCAGACCCTGCACTCTGAGCAGAGGCAGGTTTCAGCAGACTACTTCTCTCACTCGGTGCTCCCCCAAATTTGGATAAATTTTGATGGTATTCCTCAGCTATTTGTAGGAGGATCTCCATCATGGCTTTGTGGAGACTTCTGCATCACCACAGAAGTCGTCACGGTAGCATTTTCTGTAGAGAGAACGTGATCCTTGGAGAACCCTCAAATCAGAAAATTGGTGTGCTGCATATTTTAGGATATTGAAAGAGCTCAGAAGAAAGGACCCTATGCAGATTAAGCTGGAGCAGCTGGAGCAAGGGTTTATTCTGTATGTGAACGGAGCGAACTCAGAACTAACCAACCACCGCAAGAAAGTCAACCCTCAGAACTTTTTCAGAAGTGGCACACGAACAGCAAGGGGAAACTGTGAGTTCCTTCGTGACATAACTGTATTGAAACACCATTGCACCAGGAGTAGGCAGAAAGTAAGCTGGTGGTCATTTTCCAGTGTGCCACCTCGTATCTGCTGGCCTTGAGAATCCTTAAACGAAGAAAACTTTGGCCAAGAGTGAAGGGTCTTTAGCAAGAGCGAAGGCTCAACACAGAAGTCACCCCCCAGCTCTTAAGAGACTCTCCTGATCACACCACCTTATTTGTGAATTTGACACACATTGGTGGACTTTAGGGAATCTCTAGCTTTTTAGTAAATCACCCAGTCAAAAGCGGACTCCATCTGCCTTGCATCGTGCCACTGAAGGGTCGATTTCTCTGTTTGGGCACACAGGCTTTCTGCCATGTGCAGAGCCTAGAATAGAAACCAGCTCAGGAAAGGCATTTTGTTCTAGTTGACCCCACCCTCCCATTTCATCTACAATAACTCTCTTCAGTTCCTCCGAAGAGAGTGACTTTAACGCCTCCAAGATGCTACAGCATCATCTCTGCCCATTTTAGTCCCCATTCTCAGGTCCTTATACTGCTAATGAAAGCTGTGACATAAGCTGCCAGGCTCACTGCCTGGTGTCCCATACCTGCCATTACCAGCGCTG